AAATATGCTAGTAGTATCTACTTTTCTAACACCTTCAAACACTCTGTTTAAATTTTGGCTTTGCTACCGACATGCTAATATGTTGTTGTCAAAACTGACTGAGATAACCTTAATCTATGTAGAACTATATTTATTGTTAATGTACTAACTGGATGCGATATTGTAGTAAAAATGCTGAGAATTCCATTCTGTATCACAAGTACTGATTTGGAATAAAGCTTAACTTATCTTATCTTATCTTTCATAAGTCTACACACTGACAAAATCCAACAATCTACACTTGATTTTACTATCTTTACCAGTTCGCCAACTTGACAACCAAAATTGACCCCAGACTAACGAACGATGATCAAGTATTTCACAGCCTACACTTAGTTTAGTTACCTTAACCTATTCTCGAACTTGACAACCAAAAATGACCCCAGACTAACGAACGATGATCAAGTTAGTAAACTTTATTTTGATATAATACCAGATATACTATTAGCTTTGATATTTGGTTTGAACGATCTTCATTGTTATTTTGACTTTCAATATGTCCTTTTAAGTTGAACTAAGTCTATATTTTTTTCTCACCCCCTAATTCTTTGTTATACATATGCTGAGATTTTGTAAATTCCGGTTTAATAATACTTTGAGAAAGCTATTAGCATTAAATAGCGAAACGTCAGTAAAAACAATCTCGTTTCATTGGGAAATACAAAATCCTCTATTAAAATGAATTTCATATACCCAATACCCAAATTTTTTCAAACCGTTAAAAGTGAACTTGGTTTGGACATGTATAATAATCAAGCTGTAAATCAAAAAAGAAAAACATGGTTAAATGTCAAGTGGCAAGGCAATTAATGTCATGTATAGAATAATTGATAGGATGCATAGAACTTGGGAGAAGTGTGCAATTATGGGATTCGCAGGCTAGTGGAACAGAATCAAAGCGTCACGTAAGATTGTGTGAAATTTGATAGCATAGAATTTAATGTTGCAAAACAGAATTGATTTAGAGTGACAAATGAGGAACTAATCAAATAATACCGGGCACATAAACTATTTCAACATGTTAAAAATGGAACTAAATGAATAATAAAGTTAACTTCTTTTTCATTTCGTTTTTGTCTATTGTGCGTGATTAAAACAAGCCTTTGACAAGAATAAAGACAGTCTAAAACAGTTAGAGTGAGTCATTTGAGGCGGTTTCGTGAATGGTGACTAGCTATAGGATTAGAAGTATCCAGGATGCACATTTCATCCTATTTAGGACTCTTCATCTGGATGTACCTGCATCCCTTAGTGAGTGATGGTGTTCCCACTGAGGCTCGAACCCGATGCTCATAGTTTCGAACGCTAAGTTGTTACCCACCTGACTGCTTGGGCCATGAGAGCCGCCAAGTCCTGTACAACAGGTATCAGATATGACTTAATTCAATCTGGATTTTCCCGCTGATTGATTGGCTAGACTGAAGTGCTTGGTGTCAGGTTGACATGTCGGCTCCTTGTGCGGATGCTTCAATAGAGGCGGAACACTTCGGTCCAGTCAGTCAATAAGAAAGTCTCAATTGAATTAAACAAAGAGAAATCGTGATTAATACTATAAGAATTCTGTAGGGTTCTGAGTGTGACATACGGTTTCAGCTGGGTCACATTGCTATAACACCATGTTCTCTGCAGTATAACATAGGGGATTTTATGATTTCCTCATCATCACCCTGTGTACTTCGTAAAAATAAGAATAACAATAGCTTTGTTCTGAACACTGTCTATGCAATGTGTAGAACTTTCAGCGGAGTTAACTACATGACATGACATCTCAGTGTGACTGACTCTTGTTGTACCACTTAGCACAATGGAAATAGAATGCAGAAATCCATTATGAAGGACAGCTAACAGGTCTTTTCATGTGTTCCACTGGCAATGTCTGGCATGTCTCACTCACAGTCATAGAGGAGGACGGTGGGGACCACTGATGAGCAGTACACACGTTGGATGGTTGATATCCAGTCAGTTGGATACCTTGTCTAATAATGCAGAGATGGTGTTTGTTGGAAAATACCAGACGAGCTCCCTGTGTTCGTTCTGAGCTGTCGTTCGCCATCAAGCCACTGAGGCTTGTCACGATTTTCAGCAAGAACTTCAGACAGTTTCATCCTGTCGAAATCAGTCTCTATTGAGTAGGGATTACCGCAGTTTTCAGATTAGATCGCCAACTGATACATCAGTTGTAGGAGAAACATCGAAAAATGCCAGTAGGGAGGGATTACTGGAATGCTGTTTTGTCCTCTTCTTTTCCCGGCAGTATATACAGGCATGAAAATTAGCAAACTAAGGATGAAACAGCCTTCTAGCACTTATCAGTTCTGTCAGTGTCAGTTCGTCATATGGCAGTATTTATATAATGTACATAACTTTCAACGGAGTTCGTTGCATAATGTCTTCTCTTCGTACAGGATCTTCAGATAAAATGTTAACTGACAGTAGATTGTGTGGCATCGGTTAGACAACCATCGAAAACTACCGGGGAGTGTTGGACAACTGTTCCTTCGAACTGGTTTGGGACTCCTCAACAGTACGCACCCATCGCCTGGGTTTGGACCTAGGACCTTCCGGTTACAAGGCCACGTCGTAGACCATTCACACACTGACATTCTATCCAATGGCCAGTCGATGGACTGCAACTTCTACTAGTTCACAACGTAGCGTAACTGGCACTAATCAATGTCACTGGTGGCGAGTATTTGTCCTCACACGCGCCCAACCTGCTGTACCCCGCTGGTCACGATTTCTGACTAGAACCCAGGTAACTATCTACCTGAACAGGGCCAGTCGAGCTCTACGACGTAGCTCTGTAGCCAGAAGGACCTGGGTTTGAACCTCGGTGTGTGCGTACTGATGATGAGTCCCGAACTAGGTGGGCAAAACAGACATATGTCCAGTACGCCCTGGTTGTTTCCCAATGGTTCTCTAACCGATTTCAGTTCATGATGAAGTCTTGTAACCAATAGAATTCCGCCATTTTCTTTTTGTATACAAAGACCTGGTTTATAAACTCTAATTGCACAAACCTCCTCCGCAATTGTAAACGTCTTTTTGCTTATGTGTCTGATGATAACACTGAATAACTTGACGGCGTTAATATAGTATTCATAGTTGAAGTTTTTGGTACTTTGACTTCAGCTGCTTTCAATCCCCCATAGCAAATGCTCCATCATGGGAGTAGAAAGTCGCCTTTCCGTGCGTACGACCTATGTATTTGCTTCCACAAACACACACTGTCAAAATGATATATATATATATATATACGCATTTTGAATTGTCGAGTGTACTGGTGAATACCGGTCTTTCCTAGATTGTTGAGTCACCTGCTTGGGGAAGTTAAGCAACACGAGTTTAGCAGCACAATAAGTCCTCTTTATAGCTTTAACATTATTATTATTATTGATTATCATTAATTGCATTACTGTGATTATTCTCAATATCATTTAGTCCGAAAGTCTTGATATTTTATAAGTCCTATGTATCCCGGTGTAATTCTGACGGTATATATACAAACATCCCTATATGTAGAGTTTTCAGATGAAGAGGAGTTCTATCGAAATATTTGATGAATTCATTAAATAATTCTGCAATATTAACACCTTTTGTTGCTTGTTCAGGAAACACTGATAAATATAAAAATGAGCCTTCATGGGTTGGTTTTGACTGCCAGATGGGTGAGTGGATGGTTGTATGAGTGCGTCGGTGGAACAGTGGTTAGGTCTGTCGCCGACCATGCGCATGGTCCGAGGTTCGATCCCCTGCCGACACACACCTGATATCTATGGTCGGCCTGCAAAATTTGATCTACCGATATCCATGCTGAAAATTCCATACTTGTACGAAAATACAGTGTGGAATCAAGCTGTAATCAAAAAATTAATTTAAATTTAATTTGATTGATTTTCAAGTCGACATGCCATGGAGGGTGTGTTTCTTAAAAACCGGTGAGTGAAAGGGTGAATGTACTGACATCTAGCGTCCACACAAATGGACTGATTGGTTGGTGGAAGACATGAAAGTCTAGGTCTACCTATAAGAACAAAACTTGGGCACCGCGATGCTAGAGTATAATTCCATTAAGGAGGAAATTTTACTTTTATAAAACTTCACAGTGCTGTTATGCATCACTATTTACTGATGATCACGTTTCAAGCGCAATTCATTACTTCTCAGAATTATATCAAGGTGCTCACACAACTTTCCAACTTCGTCTATCTATAATTCCATTATTATTTCACCTCTTGATTTGATTGGCCGTAATATTTTCCAGATCTTTAGTATCAGTGATGAGTCATTCCTGTTACGCCTGCTGTACGTAGATTCGATGAACAAAGATTCAGTAATTAACTTCTCTCTCACCATCTGTATACGTTGGTTTTTAGAATTGCGGTCGTGTGTTGTTACATGCAGTGGAATAGCTGAAATTTTTTGGAAATTACTTATCCTCGTGCGTTTAGTCATTCTACACTTAACTAAATTATTGCCTTCTGACAACTTGAGTACCCTAGATTTACTGGTTTGACCTATGTAGTTTACCTAGGTCTATTTATCTAAGACGAGCTGGAAATACTGATGGATTCCAAACCTAACGTGTGATGTGTGGATGCACATTTGCTTTAGAATCCGATTGGTCACCGGTAATCGTTGGGGACACAGAAGCTCCTGAAACCGTCCTACTACCTTGAGGATCACGCGTCCAGTCGAAGGTTAATGGAGGGGGAGGGGTTGACCCTTTAGGACAACTATCACCTGCTTCCGTGTGGATATGCTAGCAAGCAATGATCCCAGCCTACTTAAATTTGATGAATTCATTAAATCCTGCTTTATTAACAGCACCTTTTGTTGCTTATTTCAAATTTGTATCGGGAAATAAATGTTTCCAAATGTTTCTTTTTCTTAGCACGAACACAGTTCAACTCTATGATCCGTTCACAATTTCTTCTTGACAGCATGATGTCAAATCGTCTATGAAACAGCAATCTAGTCAAGAATTATCCAAACACAAAACATATCAAGAAGTGTCAACCACGCTAAATTGTATCGCCTTACCACCCCTTCCAAGTTATGAAAGTCAACACTCAAGTTCTCACCAGCCTCAGAATCATCTCGGTTCAAGAGATCATGTCGATTTGCCGCTATGCTTAGCTCTATGTCATCTTCAGTTATGTGAGGCTATTGATAAAGTTCCTGAAGAGGTGAGTTAATGCTTTACTGAGGTATTGATTGAAATTATATGCCCCTGTCGATGTTGGTGAATATTGAAATGCTTGTTTATTCGAACCCTGGTTCGAAACCCTTCCTCCTTTATACGATTGCTGATCTTAATCCACTTTCTTCACAGCGTAGTGGGTAATCTCTCAGCGATTACACTTTGAGAACAGAACTTGAATTCAAATTGTCCATACAGTCAAGAGAGACGAAGGTATTAAATTGTCGGTCAGCTTCGTCCCATTACCCTTCATAGCTTTGAATACACTCCTGGAAGTCATAAATGGCCTACCAAATCTTTGGCGTAATATCTGCATTGTTTCGGTATATCTATCCATTAGGGGCAAGAACTTATAGCAGTGTATTCCTCTTGCAGCGGCAATACAGTGCAATATCTCAGCAAGTATATCAACTTCATAACATCTTTAAGTCCGAAACCACTTAGAATAACTTCAGTCTTCTTCATAAGGAGATTTTAATCCGCAAGGTTTCCATCGAAACACTGCAGGTCAAAATTAGGTAACTTAACGCATCTAATCCCCTTGGGTGAAGCTAAATGCTCATCACTGCTATCATTTATAACCTCAGACAACTTATCACAAATATGGAGCACACCGGCAGTACTTACTTTTTTGTCTGCCGCCATACTGTCATGTCTTTTCTGTGGCCCAGGCCTTATTGAACGTCATCAAAAAAAAATCAAGAATTGTATGATCTCGTTATTACTTGTACAAAAACGAAGGGATGGAGACCAAGCAAGGGCGAGCGAAATTGTCAACGGCTTTCCGCCGAACCATTAATTAAATCTAATCCTCTGGAGAGGTCCTAATTGTCAAACGAGATGGATCCGAAACTGGCTAATAACCAGATAGCAAAGATCTCGCACCTTTTATCGCTGGTTTCAGAAGACTAAGCCTTATGCGCAAGATACTATGCACATTAACCGATGCTGCGGAAGAACAGTAAATTGTAGGGCAATACGATAGTTTATTCTTCTACTGATAACGAAACACTATTACGGTTATTATCAAGTGCAAGGTCTGTACGTAATCGTTAATGTAATGTGCACTAGTACTTCTCCTCGTAGTTTTCCGATTTTCCACCAACCAGTAAACGATTGGCTTCTTGTCTCCCACAAAAAGGAGACCAGGTGGGTAAATATACGATTCAGTGGTCACCACTATTCATAGCCGCCTATTTTTACAGTTTCGCATGCATTAATATACTAGAGATTGATTGATTGACTAATTAATATGAATAGTAAGATATAGCCAATCACAAGCATCAACCAGCCAACTTCAGGTGATAATTCAAACACATTGGAAAGGTGTTCCAATCGCCTCTCGGAGGTTCAGTTCATCATTGAGGAGTATGAGAGCCGTTTTTCATTCTGTCAACCGAGAGTTACTATGGCAATGTTTTAACCGTGAAGGGAATGCCGAGAAAATACATCACATTGATCGAGGCACTCACACTACTTTAAATCCTGCAGCCAGGTAAGAGCCTATGGATAGTTGTCATCTGATAACTTCAGTGACATCCAGCGGTATCAGTCAGGGATGCACACGAATACTGTCCTTGTTTCTGTTTAATTTTACCGTAGATGTATTAAAGGAGGGGTTGACTAACCCTAACTAGATTTAGCAACTAAGGGATTGACTTGTTACCACCAGGGACTAATGTCGTTGACCTGGAATAATATGCGGATGTTATAGTCCTCCGTCATAATTGAAGACGCCGACATATTGCAGTTGAGTCTACTCTGAATACCCTGAGGAGCAGCAATCACCAAATGTTTGGCATGCGATGCGCTCCTGTTAAATGTAAGATGCTGAGGCTACAGGACTGCACTTTATCTACTCTTAGCTGGCTTAAAATAAGGGAGGAATGAAGTGGTAGAGCGTGTTAGAAACCAATTACTTAGGAATTCGCATCATCTCAGATGGGGAATGATCGCTGACCGAAATCTCAACACTGATACCGAGTGCTTGTATGGCATTTGCTAACATTCATTACCTCTGGCGTGATATCTGGCAGGCTATCGATTAGATGGCGTGTGTACTGCTCACCAGCAGTTCCCACCGTGCTCCTTTATGACTGTGAGTGAGACATGCCAGATATTGCCAGTGGAACACATGAAAAGACCTGTTAGCTGTCCTTCATAATGGATTTCTGCATTCGATCTCCATTGAGTTAGGCAGTGCAATAAAAGTCAGTCACACTGAGATGGTTAGCCGTCGAGTGTTAGTTATGCAAGGAAGGAGTGGGGAAAATCAATCGACGAGATTGGGAAGCAGATGTATCGATTGAGACGGTTAGGACATGTGCCACCCATGCTAGCCTAGCCATCGACCGATCGATCGCCTTCCTTGACGAGAAATGTTAGCTTAGGATGGATGGACATAGGATTGATCAGGTTGGAAAATAGGCAACCAGTGAAGGGTGGTCAAACGAGAAAATGGCTTCATCAGTCAATGAAATCCACAGCAACAGTTAGTTTAAGCCGGCTAACCAATCAACAAGCCAACCAGCCATCCACCAGCTAGTGAGGTGTAGACTTCCTGTCTACCTCGGGATTGGGAGACTCTGGATGGTGATAACGAATGACGACTGGAGGCTATTGGCGGTGACATGGCTAAAAGTCGTCGTTCTCAATGATGGATAGCGAAGATATATTCACTCTTTGTGTGATTTGTCATGTCATCCGATAGAAGTCTACTGTTCTTCTTCGATATAACTACTAATCTTTTCCCTTCACTTACACTTGTGTTTTTTCTCCATTTCTCTTTTCTTGGATCTCTGCTTACTCTTTGTGCTCTTGCTTTGTGAGCTACGAGAAGAGGGAGAGTGATAGCTGGAACTCCTGCATATTTGTGCAAATTCCCATTTTGAAAGCAGTTAGTAAGTTAGTGTGAGGTAGAGTTCAGTTAGACTCTCTCTCTCTCTCTCTCTCTCTATATATATATATATATATATATATAGAGAGAGAGAGAGAGAGACAGGGCTGAATCATTTCGAGCTGCTTGAATCTTGACTGATTTGGTAGCTGCTTAGACATCAATCACCGTTATCAGCAGTATAAATCTATAAGAAAGTCTACCTTCTTCACTTACCTAACCTATAGAGGCAGGTTAGTTTCAGCAACAACCCTGAAGGGGCACTGTTTATGATGTCATATGAAGAGAGACCTACATTGTTCTGAAATAGGGCACTGAGTACATGAACTTTCATTGTTTCTATGTATAGGGTTTAGAGACATGCTGAGTACGCGTGTCGAAAAATACATTTCCAATAGGTTTATGGCAGAATTTTATCAAGATGGGTTGACTTCTCTCTTTTTAATAGTGAAGATTAGGTAGTCGGTCTGAAAGGCTGCCAACCAAAACAGCCAATCATGAACTTTATGCAGAAGGAAGTCAAGATGGATTAGACATGCATAAACTGAGGAGACCATTGAGTAATGACATCATTTTCATAACACACCAGGTTGTTGAATGAAACCACAAAAGGGAAGTGAACGACAAGTTATCTGTGAATCCATGTGTGTCTGACACACAGAGGACATCATGTGATAAATAGGAATAGGAAGCTTCTGGACAGCTATACAGCCAGCTATTAATAAAAAGGGATTAGAGTAAATAAGATTCAATAGAGGGAGAGAGTAGAACATCATGAGAAACATAAGTACAGCAAGTACAATTCAATCAGCGGATGAAAATTATTGTTATTTATCATTATTCCCTTAGGTGTTCCGAACAGAACTTCAGGAATCCAACCAGAACACATCTCTATTTTATCCTTCTTCTTTAGCTGGCTCACTCCATGGTCACTTATAAATTCTCTTCTCCTCACATGATCTCCTGCATGTTATTCCTGGACACATCACTCTGTTATTAGTTTCCCATTCGGGCTCCACTCGAATGACATCACTCAACGGTCTCCTCAGAGAGCGTCCAATCCACCCATCTCCATTTTCTTTGCCGTATTTGTTGGGTTACGGGTTTCAGGTTGGTTTCTTCCCTAGCAGAGTTCCTTGTTCTTATTCCGTTTCAGCCAGTTATTGAGGCAGCAACAGCAGTTGTTGATCGAATTGTGCACTGCAACCTGTTTGAAATGTTCTTCATGAAACGCCTGCACCAAAATTTCTGATTTGAAGTAACCATTGTTGAATATTCATACGTCATTCTGATCTTATGCTCAGTGAGTACATATGCGATTTCCACATTGTTTTCAGAGTAATGAAGGTGTCTCTCTTGCTTTCTGCGATAGTGAGTAGCTTTGACATCATTCAATGATGTCTAGACAGATAAGTGAAGAAAGTAACCTCCTTCAGGTATCTCCATTTGATAGTGATCGGTGCTTGTTGTTGTTCGTCAGCAGGTAACTTCATGTCTTCTTCTCTATGTCCAATTTTGGTTGAAGATTTCTTTTTGCTGCTGACCTCTTCCACCAACTTGTTGGTTTTCGCCCGTAGATTCTTTTCAGCTTTGTATAAGACTTAAATTATTCGTGTAAAGTCGACATCTTCCAGAGTCTTCTGATGCACGGATGTGCAGCAGTTCCTTTTGCCACACTCTCCCTCCATGTAAAACACAAACCAAGAGCAGAGATAGTAAAGAAAGATGATGAACACAAACGTGAATGAGGGAAAAAGAATAGTAGATATATGGAAGAAGAGCATAGACTTATTCGATCACATGACAAATCACACAAAGAGTGAATGCATCTTCGCCAGCCGTAATTGAGAATGAGGATTTCAGGCCAAATATCACCACAAAGTGTCTTCAGTCTTCATTGGTTATTGCCATCTTGAGGACCCCAACCCTGAGGTAGAGAGGCAGTCTACACCTCACTAGCTGATGGATGGCTGGCTGGCTTGTTGGTTGGTTGGCCAGCTCAAACTAACTGTTGTTATGGTTTTCATTGACTGATGAAGCCATTTTCTCGTTTGACCACCCTTCACTGGTTGCCTATTTTCCAACCTGATCAATCCTATGTCCATCCATCCTAAGCTAACATTTCTCGTTGAGGAAGGCGATCGATCGGTCGATGGCTAGGCTAGCATAGGTGACACATTTCCTAACCGTCTCAATTGATACATCTGCTTCCCAATCTTGTCGATTAATTTTCCCTTACTCCTTACCTAACCAGCACTCGACGCCTAACCACCTTAGTATGACTGACGCTTATTGTACCGCCTAACACAATGGAGATAAAACGTGGGTACCTATGACTGAGGACAGCTAGTCGGCCTTTTTTCATATCTTCCTTTTCCATTCAGTGGCCATGTCTAAGTTAAAGTCATAGAGGAGAATGGAGCGGACTTCTGCTGCTGTGGAGTACACATGTATTTCGGTCGACAGCAAGATATCACGTCGATGAGGTGTAGATCACTTCGACAATCTGTCCAGTTAGCTAACAAGTGCAGCTGGTTAAAATGTTTACGATACGTATATAAACTATTCACCTCAATTTATCAGTAGTATGTAGGTCTTAATTTTTATGTGATATTTAATTTAGTTTATTAAATATTAAATAAATTGTAGTTATATTTCAATAGTTTACTCACAAATGTAATTTTTTTCCTGTTTTGGTAATATTTCGAACAAAATTGCTGCCCGTGATCACACAAGAAGAAAACAACACGGAGTGACAAAAAGCAGGATTCCAACCAAAAATGGTCACAGTACCAGACTAATATGATACACGTACCTCAGAGGAGGAATTTGAAAAAAACTTCAACAATTTTGGGATTCGCATGACGTTTAAACCGACGATTCTAATCAGAAATATAAAAAGAAGTAAATCAACGGAATGATCCATTATGTATGATGGATATAAGTAGCAATGTAATTTACAAACAGATATATTTGCTGAACGTTCAACTAAATATATGGGTCAAGCGTTTTGATTATCACTCAAAATAAGAGTGAATCAATAACACAAACGCCTGACTAAAGGTCATTCCATGGCAACACAAACTTACAGCAATTTAAAAATTAAATTCGTCTATAGCTGCACATTATATTATTATTGTTCCCTTGGATTCCTAGTGGAACATAGGGCTTCAACTGCACGTCTCCACTTGCTTCTGTCTTTTGCTGTACTCTTCACCTGCATCCATATTAGTTCATACTTTTTCAACTCCTCTCTCTTCGCACGATCTCCTCCATGTTACCCTTGGATGTTCCACTCGCTGCTTCCCTTTCGGGTTCCACTCAAGCAATGGCCTGATGCGCGCGCGATGTCACCCAGGGGCCTCCTCAATGAGTGTCCAATCCATCTCTACTTTCTTCTACATATTTGTTGGGCGATTGGTTCTTGTTCCCATAGTTTCTTGTTGCTAGTTCTTTCCGGCCATCTGATCTGCACATGCGTGGGACAAAAACCACAATATCGATTGGAACAATATTTGTATTCTTAAATCTAATATGAGCAAATTGAAAGAGCGAGTAATAACGATAGAAACTGTATTGATTCCGTCACAAGCCAGATATATGTAACAAGTGTGACTCGGTAGTACAACCGTCAACAACCTGGATTATATTTCTGGATACACAAAATTGAATACAAATCATAAAAGTGTGAGTTAAAAAAACAATTCCAACAGTTGGTCTGATCACGGGCTGTAATTCTGCGGTAAATATTAACAAGACAAGAAAAAACTAATCATTGTGTGTAAACTATTGAACTGTAATTATAATTTATTTTATTTATTTATTTATTGACATTAAATATTAAATATTTTTATGCCTGTTATCACACACGCACACACATTTAAACATGCTTTTCTTTTCTTCATTCAGAAAAGACAATCCGATATCAACGAGTTGAAGATAATTCTAGACGAAATCAGTATGTTCCTCACGAGTGGGAAAGATCCACAACCAAATTGGTGGCGGCAAAAGAAGGCGAATACAAACAGTGAAGAGGATAATAGTCCTTCGTCGATTATTGTCATTAACACTGACAATACCACAACGAATAACACCACGACGGCAATAACAAAAAAAGTAGAGAATTTCCACAACACACCTAGAAGTCATTCAAAATCACCACATCCACTCGTGAAGAAGAATACTTCACAGACAACAATGAGGATTCCTGCTAATTATATTGGGAAGACACATAATAAGAGTACGATTTCACTAGATGATGAGAAAATCACCCAACTCCCGTCTACACTAATGTTATCAGCGCCTAGTTCTACTGCTTCGTTGAAACAACAAATCACTGTCCCTGAGAAAAAGAGGAAACCTACTGGAAACAATAAAAATCATTATAAGACTATGGTAAGTTCTAAGCATTTGTGAAATGGTGTAATAGGGTGAGTAATATTGAGGTTAGGCGTCGAGTGCTAGGTGAAAAGGGGAAATCAATAGACGAGGCTGTGAAGGTAGATCGATTGAGATGGTTAGAACATGTGTTACTCATGCCTAGTCATCGCCTTCCTCAACGGACAATGGTAGCTGACATAGGGTCACGGTGGAAAAGAGTCAGTCGAAGTCAAATTAAAACATGGCTTCATCAGTCAATGCAATCCACAACAGTTAGTTTAAGCCAGTCACGTAGGAAGGTGTAGACTGCTGTCTGGTTGGGGTCCTCGGGACGGTAAACACCAATGGCTGGAGACAATTGGTGATGTGGCTCTAAAGCATTCTCAGTGGTGTAGATGCATCCACTCCTTGTGACTTAGAATATCCAATAAAACTATATGGTTCTTGGACATTACTGTTCCTTTTGTCTCATGTTCCTGTTTACTGTCTATATTTTGCATTTCTTTTTACTTTTTTTCTTCTTCTTTGACTTTTTGTGCTGATTGAAGTGTGGTGACTGAAACTGCTGCTGCACATCGGTGTAAAGTTTTATGTTGAAACCACTCAGTCAAGCATTTGTCAATGAATGAATCAATGAACACAATTTCAGTATCAATATCAGCAGCCAGCCACGTCTAGCTGGCTTGAAGATAGGCAAGAGTGAAGTGGTGGAGCGTGTTGACGATTACTTCATTTATTTAAGAAACCATATCAACAGATACAAAAGGCTCGTGTGATATTTGCCAACTCACGCCATTTCTGGCGTAGAAGACGTGATATCCGGCTAGCTGGCGTGTGTACTGCACAGTAGAAGCAGTCCGCACCGTCCTCCTCTATGACTGTGACTTAGACATGGCCACTGAATGAAAGTGGAAGATATGAAAAGACTAACTGGCTGTCCTCAATCATAGGTACCTACGTTCCACCTCCACTGTGTTAGGTGGTATAATAGGGCGTGAAATATTGAGCTGAGACATCGGTTCAGTGTTAGTTAGGTAAGGAAGGAGTGAGGGAAAATCAATCGACGAGACTGTGAAGCAGATTCATCGACTGAGATGGTTAGGACATGTGTCACGCATACATCCCTAGCCATCGGTCGGTCGATCGCTTTCCCCGACGAGAAATGTTAACTTGGGGTGGATGAACATAGGATAGATCAGGTTGGAAAAGAGATAGCCAGTGGAAGGTGGCCGAACAAAGACATGACTTCATTATATAACTTATATATATATTAGAGTTGAGCCTGATGAGATCTAATTGAAAGCACAATATTGTTCGCTTAAATGTGTTGTTCTAAATTTTACTATGGGAATATTTAATATATTCAAACCGAATATGTCAATCAGTAGTAGTGTAGTATTTTTTCATAGGGTCGCCTCTTCTGTTATTTGCTAAGCCGAGTAGGAGACAGAGTTAGGAGTGGGTTTACGTCGTTCACCTGCAATAGTGTTCGGCCGAAATGCTTGTCTGGCGAACATTCTGCACAGTCAACCATCGGCACACACACAGTCTCACTCCTTTGTATCTCTCAGTTAACGCCGCCCAACTTATTGTGTGATTACGTGCAAGTGAGAATGCATTCCGACGGTCGGCTTGTATTTTTGTGTTTTTTGTTGTTTCGAAGTTCCTATAGCGATTGAATTGATTTTCTGGGTTTCGATAGCATGTTAGCGCCTTCTCTCTTCACAACCTCATCACTGTTGACTGCTGTTCCCATCTAACCTAACTAACACACTGAACTCCTAAACACCTAAATACTAATCATGCTTATTGTACTGCCTAAATTAACCTTTCACTATTCTTATTTATTTCAGCCTAGCTCAAATGTTGAAATTATCGTGTCGAAATCACAGCAGAATCATCATACAGCAGCTACCACTGCTGTCACTACGCCTACGACTTCGCCTTCACCTACGAATATACCACCAGAACGCATTATTCGCTGTGATTCAATTGAAATCCTCAAAGTTCCCTATACAACAAACACTACAGATGGCTTTTATCATTCAATTGAAGTGAAGAAAAATCAATTCCCCAGTACTAATTCACCAATTCAGCCAAAAACTTCCCTAGACTTTATCGTTGACTCGAAACTTGCCAAAGAATCGCCCACTGACTCTTCTTCAAAAGTGGATCACAGAAAATGGAGAAAAGGCAGGATAGAAAGTCCACAGAAAAAGAAATCTCATGAATCTGTTGTTATATACCGTGAAACGAATGATACTACAACCACTGGTGGCGAACGCTTACAAGCCAAACTAGATAGTCCAGTCAGTGCAGAAATGAATCCAACAGAATTTAGCGAGGATCCTTTTGTAATGAGCTCAAATTGTGTATTAGGCAATTATTCTATCTCTTCTGGTTATCATACTATCTCTAGTCGTTGTGGGAATAATCAAGTCATCTCTACACCAAACCATAATACACTGCTGACGTCATTAAGTGACGAAATAAGTAGTAGTACTAGTGTGAATAATCCTTTATATACGTGCCATTCCTTGAAACAAATTAATAATTCTAACGTTTCAAATTATGATAATTCGATAGAATATTTTTCAGATAAAGATACCATACTACTTACAAACAATAATAATTCAGTAGGCGGTTGTAATAATTCTTCATCGTCATCAAAAAAACCCAACTCAAATTCATCAAGACGACATACTTATGTAAATTTAGGGAATTCACATGAAACGAATCACCTGATTGACACAATAAAGAATGGTGATCATCATTCTCACCATCAACAGCGGTCAGATCAAACAATAGAACTGGACCGTAGGAATTGGGCACCACCTGTATATATCCTACCTGATGAACGGAGGAATCGACGCGCCACACTAACAACAACATATCCAAACACAAATGAAGTTAATCGTTCCGGGAACTCAGCATCCTCTAAGGACCAGATTCACCAACCGACTAGTGATCCACAGGAACTTCAACATGGTTCTTCTTCTTCTTCGATGAGAAGGTTGGAAACAAAACTTGAAAGAATTAAGTTTGGAACGAAGGAGATTCCACGTACAATTGGTGCACCAGCAGGGAAGCGAACAGCATTGTTCCCTAAAGAGGTGAGTTTACTGTCTATAATTTTTGAGTAGGGATAGAATAATGTTCATTCTGTTTCGTCAGTGTCCATTTATCAGTTGCGTACAACCAATTAGTATTATTATTCCCTGGCGTCCAGATTAGAACATAGGGCTTCAACAGTCAGAGCACACTTCCAGTCCTCTTTAGCTGACCCTTAAGTTTTTCTCATCTCCCAAAACCATGTCTTTCAAGTCACTCTCGGACAGATGCCCAATTTGTCGTTCTCCATTCGGGTTCCAGTCGAGTAATAGCCTGGCTGGCATGCGATATCACTTAAGGGTCTCCGCTTTGCCTCCATTTCCTAAAGATTATTTGTTGAGCAATAGGTTTTTCGTTGGCTTGTTCCCAGCCAGCGTTCCTTGTTACTAATTGTTCCTGGCTATTTGGTTCTCGATATCGAACCACAAGAGGCAGCGATTGATAAAGCCTGTAGTAGCCTGTTGTGGATAATTTTCGTAACGCACTGGTCAAGTTTCTTGCCTATAGAGAAGAGCTGACTGACTTTATATTGGTATTGAACAGAATCCAAATTTTGTCCTCTATGCTCAGTACAGTAGATTTCCCAACTGACTTCAGAGTGATGAAGTTCTGTTTTGCCTTTCCGATCCTGTCTGTTTTTGACATCCCCATCCATGCCAACACTTGTAGTTGAAACGATACTGCCTAGCCGGATAAGTGAAGGTAGTAACTTTTAAATTTCTGCAGTAGGGTGGTGTTTGGTGCTGGTTAGCCATCTTCATCACCTCCGTCTACTCGATGTTCACACTTGAAGTCTCATGCCTTCGCCACTCCTTCTACGAACCTGTTGGTTTTCTTCTGTATGTCTTCGAATATGTGCGACATCAGACATAAATCGTCCACGGGAAGTCGATAGTCTTCTTAACGGTCCGATGGACTCCTGTCTTCTCGTTCTCTACTGACAGTCCTCTGCATAACCAAGTTCACCACAATTGAGAATATCATCGTGGGTGACAATAGTCATAAGTATTGTCTTATTTCTCTGTATTCACTCACTGCAAAGAGAGTCTTTATCGATTATTTTTTTATGGATCACCTGACATTTTGCATCGTCATACATCTGTTCTATTCATAATAGTAATAATAATAGATTTATTCCGAACAGTATTTGTTTTGGTAAAAATATGGAATCTTCAGCATGTAGTACAGTGTTGCATTTAACTTTCTCGTAGAGTTCCGCAGTAACTTGGTAATATGCTGACCTGCACACTTTTCTCATCACACATAAAATGTGTCCCGGCCAAATGAGGTATTGTAGAGTTTTTATACCTAGTTGTCCAAGCGACAGAGTCTTCCATATTTGCTTGTAGTTTCATACTTACCTGATGACATGCTAGTGGGGAGATTTGTGTATAGAGAGTATACTCAGAGTCCATCCGACAAGATAATATTCGTTAATTTTTTGCACAAGTCCATGTTTTATCTGTCTACAACAGTATTAACACAAGTTGGTTTAGCGACAACAGCCCACTCGCCCTACTGACGACTTTAAATGCCCTTCGCAGTATAATACATCAGTCTTTCTTAAGTAATCCAGGAAAAATTAAGGTGGGGAATCAGTAAAGAAGTATGTTCAGAATACTGCATGAATTAACAAACTTGGAAAGTAGAGATGGAATAATACCAGGTCGTCTTAACTTCCTTGCGCAGAACGTCAAACGAAATAACATCACTGTGGAAACTAATGTGATGCGAGAATATCAGAAGACATGATCAGAGGAAATGCACAGTCCAAGGTATATTTAGCATTGGATTTAGTTTTAACCCCTGTGATAGTGGAGCCACGTGAACTAACCAGTTCATGTAAGTCGAGCTTGCGTCTGAAAGTGAATTTAACCACCATTCGATGAGGACCACTGACTCATTTCTGATAAAAAGTTCCCCATATATATTGGAACAGTTTGACTGAGAAGTAACCGCTAGCCATTGAAGCTGTCAGATGGATGATCGGCATATTTAACAGCACTGGCTTCATCACAGTGGGACAAGTAAGTCATGTAAGAAGAAGGAAAACAAAAACTTTCAATACCAGTCTTAAATATTTTAATCCCAATTTTATTTCTGATTTAAGAATAACACACCAGCGATAATCGATATCCGCAGTGAGTTGGATGCATCACAAGCCCGATTGGCAGAAGCACAAGCTCGTCTATTAGCCAATGAAGCTGAACGAATCCAATTATTGAGATCGTGGAGAAGTGAACTGATCAAACAATCTCAGTTGATTAATGCAAGCAGTCTGAACCAAAATCAAACTACCACAATGGTCTATGACAGTCCTACAGAGCCTCAGCAACAATATCCCTCCATTTTACGCATAACTCATACAGGAAATAAAGATCCAGCTCAACTGAGCTTTGGTCATAATGACGGTGATGATGGTGAAAACGATGATAATAGTGATCGAGATTATAATGATATGATCACTAATGAGCCAAGATCGTTGTCTGTAATCCCGTTAATCAATACTAACTCATTACAAAGACAGGATTTACATCATTATTATGCGGAAAGTATTTATGATTATGAAGATAGTGAACTGATGCATTGTAATAATAATAATAATAATAAAAATAATGTTGATCCCGATCACCCTCAGAAGAGTAAACGATCTACTACCACTACAGATCGATATATTCATTTACCTATGAGTAATAGTAATAATGGCAGTACAGTTGGACGTCATTCCGGTGTGCATCAGAATACACCAGGATCATCGGTGAAATCACAAAGGTAAGTTTATGATTCTCGTATTTTTATTCCCTTGGGTTTGGGGCGTTATAGCTGTTTTTTGCTGAAGGTTACATCTCTGTTCCACCCAGTTATTAGTTCTCCGTAATCCTTTTTAGTTGGCTCCACAACTAGCTATAAGTTCTCGTTAACCTCCTGCATGCTGCCCTCGGACGCACACACACCCAACTTGTCACTCACTTCCCATTCAGGCTCCACTCGATCGATAGCTTTGTTGGCGCGTGATTTCACTCGACGATCTGCCCAGCGTATATCCGATCTATCTATATCTATTTCGTTTTGCGCACTTGCTGGGCGATAGGTTCGTGGTCGGCGAGTTCGATAACAGAGTTCCTTGTTACAAGATTTCATCAGCTAGACAAACACTGGAAAACCTTAGAGTACTGGAAATCTGTTATGTCAGCCTAGTTTGGGACTTTTCATCAGTACCACCATCAGGGATCGAATGCAGGAACTTCCTGTTACTAGGAGAGCTCACAGACCATTAAGCCGACGGGACTCGATTTAACGGCCAACCCATGAATTCCAACTCTATGTAATTACCTGGTAAGGCTGCTTGAACGACTTCGAGCTCGCTTCCAGTCGCTTTCTTCTTGAACTAACGCTCATGATTTCTGTGTGTGGCCATCTATCTTGCCTGCTAGACCTGAGCTCTCTAACAACCCATAATACTTGCTGTGACCCTTTGGCAACCCGGCCCACTTAATCTGGTGACTAGACTGTTCGTAACACTATCCCTCCCCACCCATCTAGAGAAGACAGTTATGGTAGCTGAAAGGTTTTCAACAGATCGTAGAGATCCATAATCGCGCTTCAGTAAAGCTGCCGAGTGTCCCTCGAAATCTCCAATTGTATCTCCCCCCCCCGGGTGTTCCGGTCTGCACAGCTAAACAAATTGATCATTTAAGGTTGAAGGACTGATTTGACGAACTTCTTTTGATACCCTACAATCCCCCTCCTGATAAACTAGCTAGCCTGATGTGATCTTTTGTCTTCGAAGTGGAGAAGATGGGTGTGTTGTTGAAAGTCTGCAATAGCCTTTTAAATAATAATAATTTGCTTTATTCCAAAAACAGTACTTATGATACATTGTGGAATTCTCAGCATTTGATACAATATTGCATCTAATTTAATAGACAATAGCAAAAACAAAGAAAAACGATAATCGCCGACTGATATTAGCAGCTTTCTTGGTATTAGCAGTAATTATAAAGTCAAAAACCTACAAAAAGTGTGAAATATTTTTAATAGCTAAAATTATAAGATAGCTAATAACATAAAGAAGGTGTTGTAAGTTTCACACTTAACACTTTCTCCATCACATAGAACGTGGGCAGGTGGGTCATATATAGTATCGGTGAGCTTTTGTACCTAGTTGTGAGAAGATATAATCTTTTATACTTATTTCTAGTTCTACCAGACGAGGTGCAGCAAGTGACAGGCAGAGTTGTGAATAAAGAGGATGTTGAGAGTCAGACGATATTGATTTCGCACATTTCTCGCATTAGTTGTTCAGGTGTTTGTTGACTATGGTAGTAACGAGCTGACTTAGCAAGGGTACACCACTTACCCTACAAACAACCTTTAATACCCTTCTCCTCAATAATGATATGGTCCTTTTTGAGTAGTCCAGGAAAGACTGCGGGAGAGCAATAATGAAGAATAATAAGTGAGGTGCAAGAATTAACAAGTTGTAAAACTAAAGGCTGATTAATTCCAGAATGTCTTAACCTCTCAAGTTTAGAAGGTGGTTAGACGGAGCATTCTCATGGGAATAGACAGGATATAGGATGACCGACAAAGAAAGATTAGAGGATAGAATAATACCAAGGTGTTTTATGGTTGACTTGACCTCTTGTCTAAACAGTGCCCTCTATGCTACAAACATCGTGAGAACTAATGAGTACGTGTAGATCACGTTTATATCTGACAGTGACGTTAACTGTTTGACATTTAGAAGAGGGATTTAATGTAAGACCATTTAACTTAGACCACTGGCTGATATGCGACAGAAACCTATTGGGCTTGAAACAGCCTGATTGGGGAGAAACTGACAGTGAGATAGTCAGATCACCCTCAGCGTATTTAACGAAGTTGATTTCATCCAAAGGAGGCAAGTCATGTAAGAAGAAATAACAAAGAAAAGAAGGGGGAACAGCACCCTGAAGATTACCAACTCCAGTAAGCAAGTGAAAATTCGCCCTTATGTACAGTATACTGCATTCTGTTAGAGAAACAAGAGTGCAACCAGTTATCAGCCAGGGACTGGGTTTGTGTCAAGGAAAGCTAATTTTGCGAAGGGCATCTGGGCACAGAGTCAAACGCGGAAGTGTAGTCTAGGATGGTAGAACGGATATACCTGGCCCCTTTGTTTAAGGAGGAAGTAGTATTACGGTGAAAGACAGAATCATGCTGCAGCATTCATCATACTTCTTTTCGGTTTATAAGCTAATTGTCTGCGGAGGTTAAAACTTGTTCGAATATCACTCAACAGCAGTCCGCTCAGAGTATGTCTGATCCATCCATCTACATTTCCTTCTACACAAATCTGAAGTCAGTTTAATTCAGTTGAGTGTGAATCAGTGCCTGAACAAACATTTTCGATATCTGTATCACAACATTCTGGATTTAACATGAATATGAGAAATACCATTGTTTCCTGCCGTTTTTGAAGAAGTTTAATGCATACTCGTTTAAACAAGATCACTCATGTACTCGAAAAAAGATGACTGTAAAATAGGAGTGGTCAAATTCCTTTTGAGTCTGTCATTCTACCACCAGGGATCATAGTGGGTACATGCTGTTGAGGGGTCCCGAAAACGAGAACAAAACAGGCCACCAATACATCCTGGCCTCCAGATCGCGATCAGACTTAAGATCAACCAAATGCCCGACAAACTAACATTTGAAAATTATTAAAAAGAAGGTTGCAAGGGAGAAAATTTTCTTTTCGACGAAGTCATTATCAACTAGGTCGGTGTACGTTCGCGTGTGTGTATGGTAAATGGGTAAGAAATTTCCCGAACTCTGTGTTTCCGGGTGGTCAAGGGTGAAATCAATAAAATTACAGTAAGAAGAGAATTCCTTATCATCAACTATTGACAAGCTCCATCTCTATAAGAGGATACATTGATGATACTTTCATTGTGATTTGCAGTGATAAATTAAATCTCAAAAACTCATTCGAAACCTTCAATAACGCCCACCCTGAAACACAGACTTCACTCTGGAAGTTGAATCTGACTCAGTGTTTCATTTCCTCGATTTTTACCAACTGAGAAGAAATAGTACTAACTCGCACTCAGAAGATCCACATACACAAAGCCCACATGGAACAGATAGTTTAAAAACTTTCACTCTATGTGTTCCTCTAAGCGGAAAGAGAAACCTACTTCGTTTCGCAGAAGCCATCGCTATTAAGAGACTTCGACCAGACCTCTGTACACAGAAAGATAGTGTGACTAATCTTTCACTACCCTGGTAACCCTAATCCTATTTTATTTATTTTTGTTTTTTGTTACTTACTTCACTATTCACCCCCACCCTCTTAAACTCTCCACCACATGTGTAAATTCACTCTGTTCTCTGACCTTGACCCTATAATATGCCTCTAACCAATCTGCGTTTCCCAATAGTAATCTGAACTCTAAACCCTCTTATCTAATTCCACTATATATAATTAGTTTTTTTGACACTGAATAATCTGTCTACCTACATCAAATTCCGGAATTATGTTCCTTATACTTTCTATTTATAACTCCAAGTAATTATGAAAAAGTATGTTCCAAAACTTTTTTGAAACTTATAATTTGATTTTGTTTAGGATGTATGCAGTTGACGAGTGTCCACGAAATAAAACGAGCTCGTATTATCCTGCGAACATGTTCGTTCTTTCTCTCTTCAAACTAATAAAGGGAACCGGTTGTATGAAACTGATTTATTCTCTTTCCTCGACGATCGGATAAAATATACATTGAGGAATCAATTGACAAAGAACTACAAAATCTTCAAGAAAAAGCTTTATAGAATGTGGTTTTCCTTTCACCCATATTCATCGATGAGAAACTAAAACCAAAGGAAAGATCAGAAAAAATCTAAGTTACCCTTGAAAAGATGCTACCGCAATAGGTTAATCTCGAATTTAAGAATGATACATACCAAAGCGGACGGTTTTTCAAATCTGTCAGTAAAGGAAATTACTCCGCCACCAAACCAAGGGGTGGAATTTTTTTATCCAAGAAACTATCCAACCAGTATTTGAAAGACAAGCTGTAACCCACAATGGGCCACTTCAATATCCATACAACAGTTGACTTGCTTTTGTGGAGCTTAGTGGATTGACCCAACCATGCGCCCACTTGTAAAACGCACTACAGAACACTATCATGCCTCGCTGGCTAGCGAATAGCGAATGCAAGAGTGTATACATCCAACAACTAGAACATCTTATGAATTCAAGACATTTAGCTCCATTTGATGAAAAGACCTTCTTAGTTCTGCACAAGGTCCGATATAACCTCCGTCTCAAATGGGAGTGAGAGCAAGACATCTGGTCATATTCCATATATTCACGATCCAACCGTTGAAGTCCACACTATGTATTCAAAAGAAGTATGTCCAACCGTTGCTTTTAAATGAAAGGCCACCATGTAAGGTCAATTCTCTCAATTGTGATTATCTTATTATACCTTTCTTACTCGATCTTCCTGTCTGTTTTGTTATTACCACATTTATTATCCCTATTTGTACTCTTTTCATTTGTTATAATTTGATTCTCGACTGGAAATGGAGCTCTGGAAGTTTGTCACCCACTTACTACATACACACACGAATGTACAGATACTTCGTCGAAAAAGAAAATCAGTTTTTTCGCTACAACCGTTTTTTTTAATAATTCCTATGATCTGATTTGCTTGTTGCGTAATCCCGAAATTGTTGGTAAAGCTTACGTAATGTGTACATTCCGTGACTTGAAAATAATAATAGTTATAATGATAATAATAATAATAGAAAGAGTCCGACGGGGGAATATGCCTGAATCTCAGACATTGTTTTTAATACCTTAGTTAAACCTGTTTATTCCGCAGCTAATTGAAAATGAAAATTTTTGCTCTGGTGTTTTGGTTTCTCTATGTACCTACTTCATTTTATTTATCTCTTACAGGTCATACAGTAATCGACCTCGGATGGGAGCATCTGCTATCGTCACAAATCTCCACGATCATTCTACAACCTCGTCGGCATCCGCTGATAATTATCAACAGTCTACACTGCCAGGACGAGGGAAATTGATAACCCAGCATCATCACTGGAATAATGGGAATCATAAAAACACCAATCCCAATACATCATCAGAGACAATGATGACAACGCCTTCATCAACAGATTTGGATGAATTCTATCGATTATCACGTAGTCCATCGACTCCAGGATTATGCATTAATAATAGTAGTAGTAGTAATAATCATTCAAAATATTCACCGCATACAATGGTGCCTTCAGTGACGACGACAACAACACCGCCGGCAACAACAACAATACCACAAAAATCACTGGGACAGATGAAGAATTCGCCAGACAAATTCAAGCCATCATTTATGAAAATAATCAACATTTATGCTCAAAATGATAATAAGTGTTAAATCAAGCCTTCACATTTTATACTTATTTGCATATACTACTCATTTATAATTAAATAGTATCTGCTCATCTAAGATATGACAAAAAATTCACATATTCACAGACATGTATACCACGCCCTGCTGATAGATGGGTGGATATGCCTTCAATTTCCTCTGATCTCGATCACATACACACACACATGTGGACTCTGTGCAAAAGTCGTTAGTTCCCCACGAACCGACGACAATTTCTACAACTCATCGTGCCAATGATACTTTCTTGTAATGTATAATTTTTTAATTTCTATATGTGTGTGTGTATGTGTCTGTGATGATTTAGCAACATATTTCTGACTATGGGTGGTGCTCAATCAATCTTATTCTGATCACACACACACCAACATACATACATACATACACTGACAGTTTTGTATAGTTTCCTCTAAATTTCCCATTTACTTACTTGCCTACTTCCTTAATTTTATTGATTTTTTTCTACTGCTCACCTCTTCAAAAAGTGTGTGAAAAATGTAACCATATGGTGAAACAATACAAATTAGGAATGATGATGGTGATGACGATTGCGTAATAAATAATAATCCTATTTGCATTGTCCTTTATATTCTCGGAAAGGTTTGAGTTGTTTGGGACACTCGATTTAGTTAGATGGTAACAGACTCATGGTTGCTATGCGTGTATTGTGGCTTGTTGTCGTTAGCTAGCCAACCAGTCATTCTTCAACGTCATATATATATATATATATATATATATATATCGACAACGGTTACCTGATTTCCTCAGACAACTTTACTGAAGTGCGAACACATAAATCTATGGCAAAGATCGTAACTTCATAATTCAAAGCTGTTCAAAGGTAGTTTGTGTTATTCAGCGGTTTAGATATATTTATAATGTTAACTGACAACGAGGACTTCAATACCACTCATCCTGTTACACCACCTAATACAACAGACGGAATGCAAGCATTCATGATGAAAGACACCTAGCTGGCCTTCTCATATCTTCCATTTTCAGTGGCTACCATGTCTCACTTGCAGCCATAAAGGAGGACAGAGCGAAGTGCTGGTAAACATGGCACACGTCATCTGATCGCTAGCCTACGGGATATCACGATAGAGGTGATGTATGTTGGTAAATGTCACACAAGCCATCTCTGTCCATGATGAGATTTCAGTCAGCCACCAGTCCCCGTCTGAGCCGACGCGACTTCCTAAGTCTGTCTGTTTTCGACATAGAACTTTGCACAAATGTGCGGAAGTTCAAGTCGCCACACTCCACTCCTTGTAGCACACAAAGCAAGAGAAGAAAGTACAAGAAAAGCATAATAGAGACAGTGAGCAGAGGTGTGCGACAAAGGAGGAGTAATAACGAAGAACAAAACAGTTTCATTGGAGATCATAAGTCACAAGGAGTGGATGCATCTGCGCTAGCCACTGAGAACGATTTTGAGCCATGTCACCAATTGTTTCCAACCATAGATTTTTACCGTCTCGAGGACCCCAACCAGTCAGGAAGTCTACACCTTCCTACGTGGCTTAGACCAACTGTTGTGGATTTCATTGACTGGTGAAGCCAAGTTTTTGTTTGACCGCCGCTAGCTTTTTTCCAGCCTGACCCTATATTCGCTAACATTGCTCGTCGAGGGAGGCGATGGCTTGGCATACGTAACACATGTCCTAACCATCTCAGTCTTTGTAACTTCACGACTTCGTCGATTGATTTCCTCTGTTTACCTAGAACTCGACGCCTAACTTCAATGGTGCTCATCTTATTATGCCACTTTACACGGGAAATAGAGCGCAGGCACCTATGATCAAAGACAGCTAGTCTTTTCATGTCTTCCACTCTCAGTGGCCAGGTCTCACAACCGTAAAGGAGGATGGAGCGGACTGATGAGCAGTACACCCGCCCTTTGGTCGATAGTCGAACATCTCGTCTACGCCAGAGTCGACGTAAACTGGCAAATGCGAAACGAGCCCCCTGTATTCGTTCTGAGATTTCGTCAGAGATCAACCCATTGGGGCTGATGGTACTTCCCAAATAAGTGAAGCGGTCGACATCCTAAGTAAGTGAAGTAGTGGTCAACACGCTCTAACACTTCATTGCTGCCTATTTTTAATCCAGTAAGCAGTTGATGTTGTTCAGTCCTGTAGCATCATCATTTTACATTTAACAGGAGAAAATCGCAAGCCAAACAGGTGAAGACTGCTGCTGCTGCTGCTCAAGGTATACAGAGTAGATTGAACTGGATTTCGTCAGTGACTTTACTTGTGACGGAGGAATACATCATCCGCATATTATACTTAGTAGCTTAAAAATCCCCATTGAGTCATATAAAAGAAAAAGCGTTCGTCGAAGAGTTACTCTTTTCGGTGATATACATTATCAAGCTGTAAACTTCCGATAATAAATTATCTGATGTAGAAAGCGTTAACAGGGCAGAAATTAAATTAAGACTAAATTGAGTGACGCAGTATAACTGACGAGATTGAGTAGGGGAGTTCAACTAAAAGTGAACGACAGTCAAGTTAACAACATTGGTAGTAAGCGGTATAAATTTAATAGGAGGGGGTGAGGGAGGGAAATAATATCATTAATAAACAAAAATGAGGTATTTTGTGTTAAGATAGATCAGGTTCATTGTGGATTCAATAACTGAACAAATTTCTTTCTCTGTATGCAGAGTTCAGGACTCAACATGTGAATTGACATTACTTCTGCGGTTTGAAGAAGTTTGATTCGTACCCCCTTTAAGCAAGATTCCAACATATTCTGTAAATAACCCAAAAGTTATTTTTACGGTTAGCTTGGTGTCCAGATTCAATCAGGTGTTCCAGGATAGAGCTACGGGGAGCATCTTTTTTCTCCTTTATAAAACCATGAGCGGGTAAGTGTTCCCTGATACATTTGGATAACAAACGCTGGGTACGGCCAACATACCTAATTGGTAGACAGGCCAACAGTGGTAGCCTATCCTTCACGTTCATGTGAAATAGTGGTTTCATAGAGAAAGTTATATGAAGTTCGCTCAAATTCTAGCTGAATTTCTCTACTCAACCGCGTCAATTACATTGCATCACTCAACTTACTTAATTCTATTCTGGTTTCTGACAGTTTAAAACTTTCTATATTACGTAATTTGTTATCAAAAATTTACAATTCTAATGACACATCTTTGGAAATATTCCTTTTGTTGCAAGGATAATTTACTATATGCGTATATGCAAGATTGTACAACATGAGAATGTATATCGCCGAAAAACGTTACGCTTTCACTGAACGCCTTTCCTTCTATTCTAAATCAACGAGGTTATTCCCCTTTTCTTCCTTCACGTTCCAAGTAGAACATAGGGCTTCAAGCTAGTGGCTTGAAGTTTCTGTAGCACTGTTTAATTTTACAGGATAGGGTTGCTAGCCTCATGCCTAACCTTCTCTCTTTACCAGCTTTATCACAGGCTTAGCGAGTTAAAGGAGTGCGTTGGCCGGGGATCAAGCCCCAGACCATGTGCATGGTCGGCGAGCGTCCTAGCCGCTATGCCACCGAAGCTGGTGGTGACAAATCAATCCCTGAGTCACTGAAGTCAGATAGAGTTAGTTAGTTCATCCCTTAGTACATCTATAATTAAATTAAACAGAAATTGGGGGAGTAGTCGTAGGCATCCCTGATGGTGCTTTGCCTCGTTTCAGATTAGAGACGGCTTTTGTAACCTCAGTTAGGGACGGCTTACCAGTGTTTATATCCCAATCAGGAAAGTGTTGGATGCTCAGCAAGTTGAGCGTGCGTGGCCACAGACCGGTTAAATTGCTCCTCAAAATGTTTCTTCTGGAGTTCCAGTCGTCTATCCTAAGAGCTAATTAGGGTGGCATTTTTCTCGGAGATTCTTATGTTTATCATTTTCTTTTGCCACCTTTCTCCCTGATAAGTCTAAATAGTTAACTGGTAATGGCTAACACCACTGTTTGGATTTTCAACACGAATATAAAGTCAGTTAGTGCTTCAACTTGCCACAATTATCGAGAAAAGCGTTCCCACCAGGCTAATGCAGGTGGTTTCCATATGAGCACTTGCCCCCCCCCCTTCACTGTTTCCACCATACTGAAAATTAAGTGGCCGGCTGTTTAGAAAGCATAAGCAAAAAGGAATTCTGAAGGGCGACGAACCAACCAGCAAACCAAGAACCTATCACTCAACAAATACTCAGAAGGCAGAGGAGATTCATGCATTGAACAATACACTGAGGATGAATGAGCATTTCGTCGTCCTATCTTCAGACTCGTCAATTCGCTACACCTTAATGTGTAGGTGACAGGCAGTGTTGCCTGCCTCACTCATATCGCTGCATGCAGACAGCCATGGACATCAAATCGATTGGGACAACGTTCAACATATTAGGAAGAGGAAATACTAAAAATGCCTTAAAATTTTTGGAAGCCTGATATCCTAGTGAATCGGCAATTATAGGCACATTGACACGGAAGAAGAGATTCCCATGCACAAAAAATGAGACTTCAAGTCAAGGAAACAATCAATACCACTACAAGTAGACTAGATTGTGTGAAAATGGACAAGAGCAACCAATCACATGCTCAAGGTCACCATAAATTCGCGGGGAAATTGAAAAACTCACACCTCAAACTGAAGATGTTGCCTAGATTAAGGCAATGAAAGCCTTGCAAGGACGCTATCCAGCTCAGAGAAGACAACTACACAAAAATGAGTAATCAAATCATTCGATAAATATTTTACAAATTTATTTCAGTAAATTATCAAAAATAATAATAAAAAGGACAGGAATATTCGAAAGTACAAATATATACACACATATACATATTTACATGTCTCCCACAAACAAACATCTGAGTGGAAAAAACTGTTGTGACAATAATAATAATAATCCCTTTATTACATATATACACGGTTGCTCAACTGAGACAAAGTCGTTGAATACTATCATCTGTTTGACAGTGCAGTTCAGAGTAACGAATACTGTTATTCATCACAGATACATTATCGTTATCACTGTCATTCTCACCAGGAATATTCACAGGTAGACGACTAGCTTTGCGCACAACAGATCGCCATTCAGCTGATTTGTGTACCATATTCAAGGTGTTGTTATAACCACACGATAGATAATTCGACAATTGAGGAATAGATTTATGCAGTGTAGATTCAACCAACTCAGCGATGCAATTAAGAAGACATTCAGTTTCGTTGATTAAAGTATTCACAGCATCAAGAATTGGTTTAGCATTAGAGTTGTTAGTGTTGTTGTTGTTGTTGTTGACATCGTCGCTCTTGGAGGAGGAGGAGGAGTGTTTCTCATAAGCCACAAATTGGAAGTCACTGACTGAATTCGGAAAGAATACAATTTCACTGAAAAGATTGAGTAATTCCTGTGAACTACAAAGAGGAAGCGATGGGGGAGGGGGAGAAGGAGGTAAAAAGTGAAAGACCGAATAACTAATTAAATGCACTATAAAATGAAGTCTTCGTAAAGTTTAATTTTAATTTTTGATTATAGCTTGAAACCACACAGTATTTTGGTACAAGTATGGGATTTTTAGCATGCGATATCGGTAGCCCAAATTTCGTAGGCCGATCTAATTGGTACCAAATGTGCGTCAGCAGGGGATCGAACCCCGGCGAGAGTCCTAACGCTGTGTCACCGACGCACAGTACAGTAGAGATAATATAAAAAAGGCCATCTTTATACACATTGGCTTCTAGGAGGTGATGGATGATATTGCGCTGGCTAGAGTAGAATGCTATGCAGGCTGAATGCTGCCCTGAAAAGAAAATATCCCAGCTACAAGACTTGACAAGATGTTTAATGCAATTAGTTCCCCTTATGAATTTCCACAAAAAAAAATAAGAAGATGTAGTTTATCCGAAAAACGTGTGTAATGTGCCTAATTTGTGCAACACATTCCAGACACTCTGAGTACTTTTCTCACACACATTTATACAGAAGGCAAGAAAGCATGAATCATCAAAGTACAGGTTAAGGTCACAAATAACTTGCGGGAAGACGACATATGGGTATGGGGTAAGAAAAAAAATGAATGGAGAGGATGAAAATATCATTAAGTAAACTCAACCTTGGTTCCAAACTGGACACATAAGACAGATTTAAGCCTTTTCATGACCAAGGCTTCAACGAATTTAAGTATGTGACCCAACCTTATTTCATAATGTATGGGGTTTAAAAGCACTATTGAAATCAACTTTGTGATCAGTTTCCATGATGTGCTTCGCTATACATGATGTTGGACATTTATTTCCGGTGATTTTATTTGTTGTCGTTGCAACCACTTTGGAATATGTTCTGTAGTTCTAATCTGCAGGGACCGATGGGTCCTCCCTATGTATTTTTTTTTATTTCAGCTTGCTTCCACACCGTATTTTTTGGTACAGGTATGGAATTTTCAGTATGTGATATCGGTAGCCCAAATTTTGCAGACACAGTGGGTAGGTCTCTCGCCGACCATGCACATGGTCCGAGGTTCGATCCCCTGCCGACGCACATCTGATATCTATGGTGGGCCTCCGAAATTTGGGCTACCGATATCCATGCTGAAAATTCCATACTTGTACCAAAAATACAATGTGGAATCAAGCTGTAAATCAAAAATAAATAAATAAATAAAATATCAGGTGTGCGTTGGCAGGGGATCGGACGTGTGTCAAGACACACACATGTAAATTGATAAACACAGTGGGATGTGACACTATCGTTTGGATGCTGTGAGGGTTTACAGGACAGTATATATCTTTTTTTTCTCTCTATGAAAATACGTTTGGGTGAATGGTAAGTTCTATTAAATGCCACCTTGGGTCTTTATTCAGTCATCAGAGTTTGTTGATAACCCCTATACAGCAGGGACAGACAGACATGTTTTTAATAGCTGACTCGATCGGTAGACCTCCTTTCTTTTTATCTTACGTCACACCTATAAGTCATCTTCCTAATCCTTATTTATGAACTCCACCTGCAAACAATTTGACTTGTAATAATTCATGCCAACTCTTGCATTCTATACAAATGTGTATGACAAGCACTCGTGTGGGCGTGTGTGTGTGTGTGACTAGAATATCCTAAATGTGTTGCACGAATACGCACATTCCATGTTTCAAATAACAATGACGTCTAATTATTTTGTCTAAAAGATATTGAAAAAATAACGGTTACACCCTCAGAAATCCATGAACAAGTAGAGAAGATGTGAGCGGAAGGTTTAAACGCCACCAAACAAACAAATCACAGTGTGTATGTGTTAAGGCAGGGAAACTTATCTTTATTCAACTTCAACTTAAATAGTCAGAAGAAGACTGAACAGCTGATTAGGCAAAGAACCTATTATCCTCCGCAGCTGGCTAAGTTGGTTAGTTCCCGTTCATTGGGCAACCATATGTCTCTAGTTTGTTGCAATTAAAAGTTGACGGGATACACTCTTCACCTGAACAACTCTAAATATGTGTATACAAATTTACATGTATCTCTGGTAAGACAAGACTGCCCATTACCACTCATGCTGATATTCCTTATTGTGGTGTACTAGATTATACGTCAAACTGTTAGTGGGGAACGAGAAAACAGAAATATACTGCACCAAACAATAAGACGACTCTAGAAAATCTGGAATTCGTGAGTAGAGATGACTTTTGTCTAATGTCACACACAACACTCTCGAAGACTTACAGGCGAAAACCAACGGGTTGGCGGAAGAAGCAGGCAGCGAAGGCAGGACTTTGAGTGAACATCAAGAAAATGGAGATGATGAAAATAACTAACCAGGCAACAACGACAACAACCGGCAGCAATCACTATCGAAGGACCGGCGTTTCGTTCTGTGGCAATCGCTATCAAATGTGTTTAAGACAAAATCTATGCACGTAAACGGAGACAGAAAGAGAGACAGGAGTGGAACTTGTACTACAACTGTCTGTCTGTCTGTTTTCGACATAGAACTTTGCACAAATGTGCGGAAGTTCAAGTCGCCACACTCCACTCCTTGTAGCACACAAAGCAAGAGAAGAAAGTACAAGAAAAGCATAATAGAGACAGTGAGCAGAGGTGTGCGACAAAGGAGGAGTAATAACGAAGAACAAAACAGTTTCATTGGAGATCATAAGTCACAAGGAGTGGATGCATCTGCGCTAGCCACTGAGAACGATTTTGAGCCATGTCACCAATTGTTTCCAACCATAGATTTTTACCGTCTCGAGGACCCCAACCAGTCAGGAAGTCTACACCTTCCTACGTGGCTTAGACCAACTGTTGTGGATTTCATTGACTGGTGAAGCCAAGTTTTTGTTTGACCGCCGCTAGCTTTTTTCCAGCCTGACCCTATATTCGCTAACATTGCTCGTCGAGGGAGGCGATGGCTTGGCATACGTAACACATGTCCTAACCATCTCAGTCTTTGTAACTTCACGACTTCGTCGATTGATTTCCCCAACAACAACCTACTACAACTACCTTAATAATAAAAAAGTACAGCTTATATCTTACTTCGTGTTCAGAAAATCGTATTGTTCCATGGAAGCATGACTTATCACCCTACCGCATAACCACTTTTTTGGCATTTTATGCAAACGTACCTTTTCTGTGGTTACTTAACCCCCTTATTGCATACATTCTTATGCTATTTCTAGTTTAACGAAAAAAAATATGGGATTATATGGAAGGTGTAAAGGAGTACAAGAGAAATAAGGAGTTAGCAAAACAAACCAACAAACAAAAATCAAGTGAGTAGAAATGGTGGAATAATTTTCTTTTGTATGTACGCAATAGGTCGGTTTTTTCGTCTACCTGAATGGCTAAAGCTTCAGCAATGTAAAGGAGATGAAAGCGTGTTGCCTTTGGCAGGTTATTGTTCATTTTGTAGATTACTATTTGAAGGAGGCGTTTGTTCAGATAGTAGAATGACCAATGCGTTGACAAGGTGTTCGATTATCGCACTGTTTATAGAGCTGCCATTTCTACCTTTCTGCAACAATGCGAAGGATAGTGTTCCTGAACCTATTCAGTTAAAGAGACCATTGTGAACTGAACAGTTGTTTAGTTCCAATAATTTGGGACTCATCATCAGCAGTGGACACCCACCCACAACCCCGCCACTATACGGATCGAACCACCCGGGATCTCCAGGTGGTTGATTACGCTAACAAGCTAGTTGACAACCATTTTTTGACTGATTGGGTTGGTGCGACTCAATGAATGACCGCTGAATTTTATCACTGTGAACAACTCGTGCGTGATGATTTAGTCCTACCCTCTTACCAACGCCCTCAATCAGCATCCACTCCACACCTTAGTGGTTCGTGACGAAAATCAACAGATTGAAATTCATCCATAATCCCCACAAATCTAACTCCCGTTCTTCTGAATATCAACCGCCAGCTACTCATTGGTGACTAATGTTTGAATAGATGAATGCAGTGGGCAGTTGTGAATCCACTACCATCTCAAGGTGAAGTGGGTTCTCACTAAGGCTATTTTGTGGTTGAAGGTACCGTTTTGTCACGCACGAGGTGACAGAATGTTAGAAATAACGGGAATGTTGAATTCTATCGACCACTTCACTTATTCGGGAAATTGCATTAGCTGATGAAATCTCAGTACGGATACAAAAGGCTCGTTTTGGCATTTCCCAATTAACGCCTTCTTTGGCTTAGTTGACGTGATATCCAGCTGGCTGGTTATCGATCCTATGGTGCGTGCATTGCTCAGCATCAGTTCCCACAGTCTTCCTCTATGGTAATGAGTAAGACATGCCAGTCATTGAAAATGGAAAAAATGAAAAGGCAAGCTAGCTGTCTTTCATCATACGTACCTGCGTTCCATGTCCATTGTGTTAGGCGGTACAATAAGAGTCAATCACACTAAGGTGGTTGGGTGTCTAGTGTTAGTTAGGTAAGGAAGGAGTGAGGGAAAATCAATCGCGAGATTGTGAAGCAGATGCATCGATTGAGATGGCTAGGACATGTGTCACCCATGCTAGCCTAACCATCCATCGATCGTCTTCCTCGATGGGAAATGTTAGCTTATGTTGCATGGGCATAGGATGGATCAGGTTGGAAAAGAGTTAGATAGTCGTGAGTGTTCTAACGAAAACATAGCTTCATCAGTGAACAAAATCCATAACAGTTACTTTAAGCCAACCCAACAGTCAGCCGTCATATAAGAAGGTGTAGACTGCCTGTCTACATCAGAGTTGGGGTCTTCTTGAAGATAAGAAGTAATGAAGACTGGAGACTGTTGGCGGTGACATGGCGCAAAATCCTCGATCTTGATGATAGACGGCTAGGATGCATCCTCTCTTTGGGCAATTTTTCATGTCATCCAATAAAATTCTAGGGTCCTTCCATAGAACTACCATTCTTTTTCCCTCACTCACACTTGTATTTATTCCCTATCTCTCTCTCTTTAAACTGTGTTTAGTCTCTGCTATTGCTTTGTGTGCTACGTGAAGACGGAGAGTGTGGCAACTGGAACTGCCGCACTTCTGTGCTGAAACCAGTCAGTGACTGGATTCTGCCAGTACAAGGGGGTGAATAGTTGTCAATGAGCTTGGTCTCAAAACCAACCACCTAAAAGTCCCGGGTAGTTCGAGCCATTGGCGGGTGGGGTTTTAGGTGTACACGTTGATGAAGATGGGTCCCAAACTAGGACTAAACAGCTGGCTGTCCAGTACTCCTCGGGTTTCAAAGCATCAACACTACACACGTAATTCTGTCTGTCTGTTTTCGACATAGAACTTTGCACAGATGTGCGGAAGTTCAAGTCGCCACATTCCGTGTAGCACGCGAAGCAAGAGAAGAAAGTACAAGAAAAGCATAATAGAAACAGTGAGCAGAGGTGTGAGACAAGGGAGTAGTAAATAAATACAAAACAGTTTCATTGAAGATCATAAGTCACAGGGAGTGGATGCATCTGCGCCACTGAGAACGATTTTGAGCCATGTCACCAATTGTTTCCAACCATAGATTTTTACCGTCTCGAGGACCCCAGCCTGGAAGTCTACACCTTCCTACGTGGCTTAGACCAACTGTTGTGGATTTCATTGACTGATGCCAAGTTTTTGTTTGACCGCCGCTAGCTTTTTTCCAGCCTGACCCTATATCCGCTAACATAGCTCGTCGAGGGAGGCGATGACTTGGCATACGTAACACATGTCCTAACCATCTCAGTCGATGTAGCTTCACGACTTCGTCGATTGATTTCCCCTCCTTACCTAGAACTCTACGCCTAACCTCCATGTTGCTCACCTTATTATGCCACTTTACACGGGAAATAGAACGCAGGCACCTATGATCAAAGGTAGCTAGTCTTTTCATGTCTTCCACTCTCAGTGGCCAGGTCTCACAACCATAAAGGAGGACGGAGCGGACTGATGAGCTGTACACCTGCCCTTTAGTCGATAGTCGAACATCTCGTCTACGCCAGAGTCGGCGTAAACACGTAATTACGTCACTACATACCATCCTATGTACCGATTTACATGTGTGTGTGGCCACACATACATAGAAAGGAGTAATCGCATACGTTTTAGATATGGATAGCATATGTAAAAGAAGAAAGGTAATAGTACATCTGCCATGGTATCTTCGAAAAAAAGTTTACCAATGAAGTTTTGATGGGACTAAGAAACATCAATTTCCTGTCTCTGTAATATGTTTCGCAATGGAGGATCTAGGTCGTGTGTTCTCGCCATTAATAGGTTCTAGAGATTTCATTTGCTTTTGAAGCCATTTAGGAATATGCTCTGAAGCAGAGATCAACGAGTCTTTCCTTTGATGTATATGTATCGACACATACATTTGGATTGGTAAATACGGTGGGATTTAAAATAATTTTTCTCATGTTCTAAGGGCTTAGATTGATATATGGTTGGAGGAACTGTGAAACCTCGATAAACCTCGGTAGTAAGTGGCGACAGATAGAGCATCAATTTCGTCTATCTATCTATACATAGCAAAACCACACTTCACTGGATATGAATCGCACAAGATAATAACGTACTGGACAATTGTGATTCGTCCCCGCACCACCACCACCACCACCACTGCAGAGTCGGACTTCTCCGCCTCAGCAGTACGCACTTATCGTATGTAATCCCACCCGACCACGTGGAACTGAACTACTCACGACCATCATAATCACGAAGAATGACTTCCTGTTGACGAAAACCACTAAATTACACACCATGTGAGACAGTGAAATCTAATGTCCGACACACGAATTCAAATTTACTAACTACAGGAGGAAGGGAAAGTTGCATGAAGTGTTTTAGTGTGTATGTGTGTGTGTAAGGACAAATCGTCTCCGTAGATGACATTGACTATATTATTATTGTTCCCTTGGGTCGCAAATGGAACACAGGGCTCCAATCGCAACACATCTATAATTTTTTGATAGAGAAAGAAAGACTAGATTTGCAGTATAAAATGATATCATTCTATTTCACAAGTTCTCATCGTCTGCAAACTACCTGAAATTACAATGGCTATAAATAATAACATTTCATACTTCACTGTTTGAAAGGTAGGTAATAGAGAAAACATTATAAGGTGAACTCATCTGGAATATAAGTATTGTTATTATTATTTACGTTATTATTTATAACCATTGTAATTTCAGGTAGTTTGCAGCTGATGAGAAACTTTGGAATAAAATGATATCATTTTATACTGCAAATCTGGTCTTTCTTTCTCTATCTAAATTTATCAAGGGAACCATATGTATCAAATTTTCGAAAGGACGCCTTCCTGTCCAGGCATCTCCACTTTGTTTTATTTTCTGCTGCCCTCTTTAGATGGATGGCTAGACCCACGATTGCTCATAATCTATCATCTCCTCCTCCTCCTTCTCCTCTACACACGATCTCCTCCATGTCACCCTCGAAGTGACGACCCACTCGTCGTTTCCCATTCGGATTCCACTCGAGCGATAGCCTGGTTGGAGAGCTACATCATTCGACAGTCTTTTCACCAGCGTGTGCCCAGTCCATCTGCTTTTCCTTTCGCATACTTGTTGAGCATTCAGCTGTTGGTTGGTTTTTTCCCAGTCAGAGTTTCTTGTTGCTAATTCTTTCTGGCCAGCTAGCCATTCGATCTTCAGTATGGAGTCAAAGAAGGGGGCAGCTGTTGATAAAAGTCTGCAGTAGGCTGTTGGAAATGTTAATCTTAGTTGAAACGATGTTTCCTAGCCAGATAAGTGAAGGAAGTGACCTCTTTCGAATTCCGCCCATTGATAGTGATTGGTGCCGGTTGCTGTCGTTGTTAGCTGGTTGATTGGTCGTTTTCATCACCTCCATTTTCTCGATGCTCACTCAAAGTCCTGTCTTCGGCTCCCTGCTTCTTCTGCCAACCCGTTGGTTTTCGCCTGTAAGTCTTCGACAGTGTTGTATGCGACATTAAACATAAATCATCTCTACTCGCGAAGTCCAGATTTTCTAGAGTCTTCTTATTGGTTGGTATTCCGAGACGTATTCCTCTCTTCTCGTTCCCCCTACACAATCTGACGTATCTGTCTGTTTTCGACATAGAACTTTGCACAAATGTGCGGAAGTTCAAGTCGCCACACTCCACTCCTTGTAGCACACAAAGCAAGAGAAGAAAGTACAAGAAAAGTATAATAGAAACAGTGAGCAGAGGTGTGAGACAAAGGAAGTCTACACCTTCCTACGTGGCTTAGACCATCTGTTGTGGATTTCATTGACTGGTGAAGCCAAGTTTTTGTTTGACCGCCGCTAGCTAGCTCATTTCCAGCCTGACCCTATATCCGCTAACATTGCTCGTCTGACGTATAGCCTAGTCCACCACAATTAGGAATAGCATCGTGGGTGATAATGGGCAGCCAACCTTGTCTTACTTTTTCCTTACACTTAAACAGCAGCTTCTCTGAGTTTTCCGCTGTGGATCACCTGACACTTGGCATTGTCATTTAACCAGCTGTGGTTGGACGAGGTTGACAAAAACTTATAACACCGCACTCCATATTGCTGATTGAAGGAGTGTTTCCAAATTACTTCATGGTCACCGCTGTCGAAGGCAAATTGATAGAAGTCACAATTCAAGCGCCAGTGTCCTACTGGATTCCACCGTTCCGCGCTGTGGCTGAATGAATGGGGTCGTCAACCTAAAGATCCTGGATGATCCCACTATGAAACCTTAAAGAAATACAGTTCCAAAATGAAATTTTAAAAAAAAACAGACAAAATCATTAACTAATGAACATTGTAGCTATTTACCTTGAGCATATTGCAATGAATGTTGTCACTGAAGCCGCTGCACTGTTATTATTCACACATAAACACAATCCAGTGAAGGGATCATTTGTAATAAAATATACAATCTGTTGCTTTAATCTGTACACATTCCATGTACAGAATTGATTCAATTTCGCCTCTAAAATATGACTAATCGACAAGTGTGGATCAGTGATCATTAATGCCAAAGGATTGCGATCACTTTTCTTTGCATCAGTACCGATGAGATTTGTAATAGTCCACATTTTACAGAATGGATATATTGCACTAGATAACATTGGAAACGATGTGTTTGTCATTGATGTCTCCAACAGTGTCAAATAATAATTGTTTAGACTGTAAGCATCCAATGTAAAATCCTTTAAAGATACAGTGAGCTGATTAAATAAATGTAGGAGAATAGACGTCTTTTTCAAACTGTCGGCTATGCGTAGAAACAAGTGTATCCTGAGAGTTTTATCTCCATCGATGGTATCCTCCTCCATATGGGTAACATTGTCTTGAATACTTGATAGAAAGATATCCCTTGATGTGTAGGCAAATACATTCAGGGATAGCGTTTCTTCGATTGACACGTCGCTTCCTCTCTTCGTCTTCTTCTTCCTCCTGACGAAAATTTCAGGTGACAACCATGAATCCATGATGATAGGCAGCTTAGGCGACGTTGAAGGTGACGCAGAGGACGAGGCCACAGAGGTATGTACCTGTGGATGCAATGAAACCCTATAGGCATGATCGTCTGTCCCACAACTCTCCTTAAAAATCATCTTTATACGTAAACATATTATTGACCACCAACGACAACGATCTGATATCTTATCACCCCCACCTGAACTCACTGGTACACAGAACATCAAGGGGGTTTGATCAATTATCAACGTTGGTAATCTCCAAGATGAGTCTCTAGCCTGCGTACTGATGAATGGGCAGTATGTGTATGATGTTATCCTACTACCAAGACCCTCAGTAGGATGAGTTGACTCCAGTATAGCTTGTAAGTTTATGCGGCGGTTTTCTCGAAGAACGAATACATTTGTTGGATAAGTATTTGACAAGGAATGCTTACTCTTACTACCATTATGACTGTCACCAACAGTGGTAGTAGTAGTAGTAGATGTGGTGGTGGCGTCGTAAGGAATAGATGTGGCTCGAAAACACTGTCGAATAATTGATTCACTTGCATCCAGATCATGGATTATTTCATAAATGACGAATTCAGAGTTCTACAACAAATCAATAAAGATATAAGTTTATTTGAAATATCATCAGCAGCAGCAGCAATATAAACAACTGGATGACAAGGTTACCAGCATATATTATTGCCAGTCACGATCATCATATCAATTTAGTCACACGGATTCACAATTTGTCTTGTAAATACTGTTATCTCTACCTATGCCTCTAGTCGTTTGGTGCTAGTTCTGTATCTCGGGTATAGGCACTGTATCATTCCAACTGCATGTGTGCGGTGTATTGATTAGATAAACAAAGACTCAGTCAGTGATTAACTTCACTCTCTCTCTCTCTTTCACTGTCTCCACCTAACTATATTACTTTCTTATACTCTCACCCTGTTCCACTAAACCAACCTATTTTGTGATAAAATGTACGTGAAAGCAATGCAATGCAATAGCTGAGCCCTGTCATTTAACTTATCACGGTCAGTTATTCTAAGTCTAGCTAAATGTGTGTTCCAATAATCTAATTGACCTCGACCTACTAGTTTGACCTGTAATATAAATGACCTCACAATCATCATTACATGGTATTTGGTAAATTAAATGTGATTTTTCTTAATTGGATCTATTGTGTTCTTCAGCCGACAAAGTTTATCTCCGAGACAGTTTGGTTGGTTGATTAGTCCAAATGCCACCCCAACTAATTCCAGTCTCACTGAGAATCCTACGTAAGGCGTCCGACATTCCTTCTTCATACAGCCGTACTACTACACAGGCCTCAAATTCTACATTATTTTCTTCGTTATTCTGGTCATTTTCATTGCTAATCCAATACTCTCCCTATGGTTTTCTCTACATTTCTGAACCAATTCTGGTGGGTAGTTAGTTATTCACCAGTAATGTTTTCTTTATTTGTTTGATTTCACCTGGCTATTTCGTCAACCTAGCTAGTAGGGACTCTCCCGGCAGTACGCACTTACCATCACAGGGGTTCGAATCGCCTCGGAGACCTTCTGGTTACTGGGAAAGCTCATAGACGACCATTCACAGTCACTGGGACCCTTGTCACCTATGAATTCTAACTTCTACCATTTTCTTGATGATTTTAGCGTGACTAGCGGCGGCACCAGCCATAGGTGAGCGAGTATTCATCCTCATACTCACTTGATAACTGACTTGGTGAATGGACCACCACCCCGCAGTGGTCACGACTTCCTACTACTTAAGAACACTCCAGGGGTAACTTCATCCACCTGTAGCCACCAGTCACACTCAAATAGTGAGTAAAAGATACATTTTCAGTTGGGTTAGGGACTATCCGGTTCTTAGTGGTTCTCCCTAATTGTCATATCGCAATCCGTGGCTCGAATTTGAGAAATACGGACGTTGCGTAATATTTAAGCTTAAAAGGCGATATTCTCTAGCTACCCACTGGTCCTATGCTATGTGTAGTAGGACAAAGTTCCACATGTAACCGACCACATTCTAATGTGCATTTATATGAACAATAACAGTAATAATAATCACTTTATTTCAAACAATAATAATACAGAATGGAATTTCCAGAGTTTTTGTACACATTACAACAACTTAACTCTTCTTATAAATATTCGCACACATGAAATTTCAAAAAATTATCAATAATAACAAAGCCACAAAAAGCTGAAGGTTGGCAGAAACATAATGAATTATAGTGTCACAGATAATGTAATAATAATAATCTTTACCTTCACTTTGCAGTTCAGTTACTGATTTAAAAAGTTTGTGAGTTCTTTGCTGACATCTGAATCTCCCTCTTCACACAAAACCCGTGCTAAATATGGTGGTATGATAGAATTCCTTTATATTTATTAGCTGTATGAGTATAAATTCTTCTGAAATTTCTTCTGGTTTCACTACCCACCCACCAGAGTGATACCGGGAAAAAGTTGCGAACAAATGCAGAGGATGTTCGGTATTAGACAAGATAACCTTAGCCAACTGCTTGCAACCATTACAGTGCCTATCCACAAGCACAATGTCAATTAGTTGAGTCAAAGGCACACACACACACACACACAACCTGCTTACAGCCTTCAGTGTTCTACGTAGCATGTACGACATAGTCTTTTTTGAGAAGTCCAGGGAAGAATAAGTGGATACGGGGAAGAGTAAAGAAGGTGAATGGGCAGTAAAAATGAATTAACAATAAATTATAAGATAAGAGGTTGAATTGAGTTATGCTAGCAGAAAGCCTCCGCTTCCTTTTTAAGTAATAAGTCAAACAAAAACTTTTGTGCTTAGACATCAACAGGATATGAGACGACCAACAGAGAGTTGAAGCGAAACTGATGCTACCGAGATAGGAGATATTTGTTTTACTCTCTAACACAGTGCCATCAATATTATAGGAATCATGGAAGTGAATCAGAAAGTCCCAACAAGTCTTGTTTGCATCTTATTAAATAATAATAATAATTAATAATACTTTGATATAAGTATAAAACTTGGGCACTGTGGTAGAGTATAATTCCATTATAGATAAGATTTTATTTTGATAAATTACACAGTGTTGTACAGTTATATGAACTGATGACGTTTTGAGCACAAACTATTGCCACTCATAATCATATCAAGTTACTCACACAACTTTCTTCTTTCATTTATATACATATGTGGAATGGATTAGATATTGGATTAAAAATCAATGTGAGATCATATACATTCAGAAGTAATCGTACGAGTGTTGTTAATCAATTGCAATTAGATGGGAAAATTGGACGAGTGTTTTTACAGTCATAATAAGCTGCTTGTTAGAATGTGTTTGAATCGAAATAGAATTTTAAGATTATTTATTATCTTCTTCTGATTTGACCTGCGGTAATAATATCTTCCATATCTCTGGTATTTGCATTGACTCGGAATCCTTATTTATCGGGTCTACACCCGACAAATGCAACAAAAATGACTCAATGCAAATACCAGAGATATGGAAGATATTATTACCGCAGGTCAAATCAGAAGAGGGTAATAAATAATATTAAAATTCTATTTCAATTCAAACACATCACAACATTCTAACAAAAAAACTTCTTATGACTATTAAAACACTCGTCGTATCTTCCATCTGATTATAGTAGATCAATAACACTCGTATTAATGCCATCAGTCAAACCAGAAGAAGATAATAAATAATCTTAAAATTCCATTTCAATTCAAACACATTCTAACAAGCAGCTTATTATGACTGTAAAAACACTCGTCCAATTTTCCCATCTAATTGCAATTGATCAACAACACTCGTACGATTACTTCTGAATGTATATGATCTCACATTGATTTTTAATCCAATATCTAATCCATTCCACATATGTATATAAATGAAAGATCAAAGTTGTGTGAGTAACTTGATATGATTATGAGTGGCAATAGTTTGTGCTCGAAACGTCATCAGTTCATATAACTGTAAACACTGTGCGATTTATCAAAATAAAATCTTATCTATAATGGAATAATACTTTGATAAAGCTATTAGCATTAAATAGAGAAAAATCAGTAAAAACAATATCGTTTTGTTTTTTCATTCATTGGGAAATACAAAAACCTTTATTATAATGGACTTGTTTGCATCTGAAATCAAAATGAACAATATGACACATTTAGATGGATTCAGTTTAAGACCGTTCGTTAACTTTAGATGAACTCACCTGCCCTTCTATGGAGCTACGTACATAGGTCATGTTCTACATGAGTGTCCTTTCAAAATGGGGGTTAGGAAATACTACACCACACTACCCAGCATAACTGTGAAGAGGTCTGCACTTGTCCGCAATCAGAAGTGCTTTAATTAAACATCTCGTCACTGAACACACCTCTCACAACACAGTATCTCCACTAACTCATTCAGTATTATCTAGTGCCACTTAATAACCTTTTTCTGTAATATAAATACGACTGTACAGCTTGAAAATGAAGTCGTTGAAAAGAAATTTCTTCGCTGAACAGAAAAAACTGTGTTTTTACTTGAGAATAAATGGGTATTTTTCATTATTCGGAATCCACCAACAATAATGTTTTTGATTTCCGTGAACAGCAGAACCTCTCAATACCATATGTGTCAAGAACACCGGAGTTGTGTTCAAAATAAAGGAACTAGTCCAACCTCTACAACTTTTAACATGCACCCTCCATAATCTAGGATCAGGATTAAAAACTCTAAGAGCTCTATGTTCCTAACCGTCCATATATATGTCGGCTGAAGAACACAATAGATCCAATTAAGAAAAATCACATTTAATTTACCAAATACCATGTAATGATGATTGTGAGGTCATTTATATTTATACACTGAACAAAAGAGTGAAGAAGAGTGCCAGGGAAGATAAAAGAAAATATTATGAAACCATGGCAAACGAAGCAGAACAAGCTGCAGGCAAAGGAGACCTCGCCACACTCTACCAAACAACTAGGCACCTTTCGGGCAAAAGTTCGACACAGATTAAGCCAATAAAGGACGACAATGGAAAGTCAATCACTAAAGAGGTGGAACAGAGAAAACACTGGGCTGAACACTTCAAAAGACTTCTAAATCGACCGCCACCTACAACGCGCAACAATACCAACAACGGAAGCAGAACTACTAGTGGACATCGACCCCCCGACGAAATCAGAAGTCCTGAATGCAATCAAGATGCTAAAAGCTGGGAAAGCACCAGGACCAGATGGAATCCCAGCAGAAGCTTTGAAAATAGACCCAGAGACAACAGCGGACTTGATGACGCCACTGCTGGAGAAGGTGTGGAAAGAGGGCAAAGTACCCGAGGATTGGAAGAACGGATACTTATTCAAACTTCCAAAGAAAGGAGACTTAAGTCAATACAAAAACTGGCGTGGAATTATGCTTCTGTCCATTCCAAGCAAAATACTAAGTCGCATCATCCTGGAGAGAATCAAACAAGCCCTGGATGAAAAACTTCGACCGGAACAAGCTGGATTCAGGAGAAACAAATCATGTATTGATCAAATCACCACTCTACGGATCATCATTGAACAAAGCTTGGAATGACAGTCACCTCTCTATCTCAACTTCATCGACTTTGAAAAGGCCTTCGACAGCGTCGATCGAGAGGTCATTTGGCAACTACTTCGCTACTACGGGGTCCCATCGACAATTATACATCTCATCCAACAGTTATACGACAATGCTGCATGTCAAGTAATCCACAACGGGAAACTTACGGAAGCCTTCGAAGTGAGGACGGGAGTGAGGCAAGGCTGTCTACTATCACCAATGATCTTCCTGATTGCAGTAGACTGGATAATGCGACAGACAACGGCAACCAACGAGGGAACGGGCATAAAATGGACTCACACAAAAGACTTGGAGGATCTGGACTTCGCCGATGATATATGTCTGATTTCCCACAAACTGGAAGATATGCAAGTGAAAAGCAACAAGTTGTCAGAAGAAGCATCCAGAGAAGATAGGACTTCAAGTGAACATAGATAAAACAGAGGTGATGAAGATTCCTGGCCAACACCAACAGACAATAATCAGTATAAATGGGAAGAACCTGAAAGAAACAACCTCCTTCACCTACCTAGGAAGCATCGTTTCAACTACAGGCGGAACTGACGAGGATATCAAAGCCAGAATCGGAAAAGCAAGGCAAGCTTTCATTTCTCTTAAGTCTGTGTGGAAGTCAACAGTACTCAGCATGAAAATGAAAATAAGATCCGGATTTTCAACTCCAATGTGAAGTCAGTCCTACTTTACGGATCAGAGACTTGGCCAGCGCGTCATAAAGAGCATCTCAAACAAACTTCAAACCTTCATTAACAGCTGTCTTCGCTCATTACTCAAGATCAGATGGCCAGAAAAGATCAACAACAGCGATCTCTGGGAGCGAACCAATCAGGAACCGATTGTGAAACAAATTGGCAGGAGGAAATGGAGATGGATTGGCCATACTCTGAGGAAACCAGCAAGTGACATCACTAGACAAGCCCTCGAGTGTAACTTGAAAGGGAGGCGGCGAGTTGGTCATCAGTGCAAGGGTGACTTGGAGGAGGTCATGCGAGGAGGAGATGAAAGCATGTGGACAGACCTGGAGCGGAGGGAAAAAGTTGTCAGAAAACAGAAGGCAATGGAGGTGCGCAGCTGAATCCCTATGTTCCTCTAGGAACTAAAGGATACAATAATGATAATTATTATTATATTATACGTCAAACTAGTAGGTCGAGGTCAATTAGATTATTGGAACACACATTCAGCTAGACGTAGAATAACTGACCGTGATAAGTTAAATAACCTATAGAAAACAGGGCTCAGCCAGTGCATTGCATTGCTTTCACATACATTTTATCACAAAATAGGTTGGTTTAGTGGGACAGTGAGAGAGACTGATGTAAATCACTGACTGAGTCTTTGTTTATCGAATCAGTACACCACACAAGAGCATTCGGAACGTCGTAATGCCTATCCCGGAGATATGGGGAGTGACAACAAACGACAAGGAGAAGAAAGATAATATACATGAGACAGATCGTCAGTCTGTGTGACTAAACTGACATGGTGACTATAAGTGGCAATAATTTATACTGGAAACCTTGTCATCTAATTGTTAATATTGCATATGTGTGATGCTTTAAAATAAACCTATCTAATGTGGGATCAGGATACTCAACTAAACAAAATAAGCATTATCAAATAAAACATTTTATACAACAGAACTTACTTGAAATAATGAATTATTCCTACTGTCTGTCTCATCCATTTCAGAGATCAGTTGAAATTTCTTCCACTGATTAACGTTGCACAGACGACAAAGACCGAATTTCTTAGCTGATCATCTATATAAATGAATAGAAAGGGGTGGGACTTTGTCACGAGAGTCTCATTAAAACACGTACGTATGACTCGTTGAAATAAACAAGCTATAACATACGCTTGAAATGAAACTGAAGGTAAATCCCTTTGCAGAGGTTAGCTCCTTCACTTATTTAGCTAGGAACGTATGAAGATGACAAAGCCAGTCAGAATCGGAAAGGTAAGATACGCCTTCATCAACCTGAAACCAGTTTGGAAACCTTCTGCACTGCATTCAGCATAAAGAACAAGACTCGGATTTTCAGCACAAATGTCATGTTGGTCTTTCCACATGGGTCAGAAACTTGGCTTGTAACGAAGAGGATTTCACACAGGTTACAGATTTTCATAGAAAGATGTCCCCTACGCTGGCTCCATAGTGAAGATCAAATAGCCAGAAAGAATTAGTAACAAGAAACTGTGGGAACAAACTAACCAAGAGCCGATCCCTCAACAGATTTGTAGGAGAAAATGAAGATGGATTGAGCATACATTGAGGAGATCCTCAAGTGGAATCCCATTAGGAAGCGACGAGCGGGTCATCACTTCGAGCGTGACATGGAGGAGTCGTGTCAAAAGATGAAAGATTTTGGGCAATCGTTGTCGGAGATGAAGAGGAGGGCAGAAAATAGAGCAAAGTGGAGATGTTTTGTTGAAGCCCCCATATTCTACTAGAAACTCAAGAAAAACTAATAAAATATTAATAAGATCCCTTTGTACAAAAGTGAAGCCGTTCAAATGGACTCACACACACAGGTCTGGGGAAAAAAGAAACTAGGATGGTTGTCAAACCAAAATCTGGCATCAGTTCATCATGAAGTCTTCGGCAATTGGTTTCAGGATAGACAAGAAGAGGGAGGTGTAGACTAACTGACTGGTTTCAACATGGAACTTTATACATAAAGGGCAGCAGTTTGAGTTGCCACACTCTATGTACCACAAATAAGGATAAAAGAGATCCAAAAGAATAATAAGTAACAATTAGGGTAAGAAAGAATAGTATTTTGGAAGGACGATAAAGCTTTATTGGATATATGAGATGACAAAAAGACTGAGTGCATCTACGTGTTATTGATAACGAATTTTAGCCTTAACACCAACTGTCTCCGGCAATAATTAGTTTTCAGCATTCCGAAAACTCTAATCAGGAAACATATTCCTCCCTCCTTAACTGTTTAAGATATCATGTTTTAGGTTGACCACCCAATTCTTTTCCAACCTTAACCCTTCTGTCAGCAAGTTTAACTTTTTCCGTCGAGGAAGGTGATCGGTATCTAGGCCAGATTGCGTAACACACCTCAATCGATGCGACTGCTTCACATTCTCGTCGATTGATTTACCTTCCCACCTACCTAGCGCCTCACCACTATATTACTCACAAGATTATGCCACCTAACATGGGAGATGGAATGCAGACACCTTGCTGAAAGATAATTAGCCTACCTTTTCATGTCTTCCGTTTTCAATGGCTGACACCTCTCACTCATATCCACAAAGGAGAACGGAGAGAACTGCTGCTGAGTAGTACACACGTCCAGTGATCGATAGCCAGCCAGTTGGATATCACGTCAACTAAGCCACAGATGGCGTAAGTTTGCAATATCTACCAAGTCCTTCATAGCTTGTTATTCGTAAGTTATTTAACCCATAGTCTGACAATAAATGATATTCTCAGTTTTTCTTCATGGGGGGAAATTTCACTGACACATGTTAACTACCATTCCCCAGAAACCTTAACATTGCAGTTTAACAATTGGCATTAAAGCCAGAAGATATATATATATATAGGCCAAGAGGCCACCACAGGATTACGGGGTTGGCTTTCAGACAGATAAAACAAGTTCCTTGTCTAAAGACGGACTCATGCATTGCAGAAAGGGCTCAAGGAGAGGACATACGTATGATTCCCGATGAGATTAATGATACAAGGAAAGAATTAACAGTTTTACCGCACAAATTGGGAAGAGTGCACATCATCCTACCATGGTCAAAATTCTAAGAAACGACTACAGACCTGAAACTTTTCGTTTACCCTTCCCAATGGGGTGGTCGTAACACCTCAAAGGACATAGTACGAGAGTAGAAAAGACAAGGAGGAAGTACACCGCTGTAGAGTACTTTTTCCCACTGAAGTATAAAGTCTTGGAGCCAACTCTCAGAAGAAGGAGAAGCAGTGTCAGTCACCTCTACAAACACGTTCAAGAGGACATCAGGCATGCACAGCTTATTAGATAGGTTCAAGCCATCTATACCCCCAATCATTATATTTGAAAGCTGAAGAATATGTGAGCAGCTCCTCTCTCATAGAAAACACTAAAACATGCCCTATTGTGTTTAAGCTTTACTAATTTATTATCTTCCAATTCAAGTAAAATCAATATCATGAATAGAACTTGGCGTTATCACTTCATCACCCCTAATATCGTTAAGACAACTTATCTTTTAGACAGTTAAATTACTACTTCCATGATTACCAGATTATGGAAACAGAATATTTGAGCATTAAAAATGTCAGTGTATTGTTGCATCCAAAACGTACGATTAGTCGCTCAAAATATGGTTACCCTCAAAGCCATTTCAGGAACAAGTAAGCCCACAATTGGATCTATTTCTGATGGGGGCATAATAATGATGCTAAATATTTAGATAACTCGTACGTTGGGGTGTCCTTAAGTCTTTCCAGATATTTAGACAAAGCTTTTTCACGCTATTTTTATACTATATTTATATTTGTATACCTTTGAAACCACCTACTTCTTTCCTGGCCAATTTTATTAGTGTCCAATGTGAACACATTACGCATTGACAGTCAAAACCACTGTACCGCAGTAGTAGAAAACCGTTCCAAATAATATATGCGAAGTAAGTAATTAAAACAAAATACTCTATGTGCCATCTTCCAATAATAAGAGCATTAATTAAGCAGTCTTCTGTTTATGCTCAATGCAATTCCATCTGTAAAGATCTATTTTTTCTTCATGAGGGATTCTAGAACTTGATGTATTTGCTGACCACTTCGTGAGAAAAATAATGATTCATTCAAAGTTAGCTCAGTGATAAAATGCAGGTATTTTTTAAATAAACATCGATCATCTGCAGTAGCATAATGATTAAATAAGTCAGCACTTAGATCTATAGATCGTCACATGATATGTTATCACTTGGCTTATCCAGCCTAATTTTGTGTTCATGCTGAGTAATTCTGGGATTTATCTCTAACCACGTGGCAGCTTCGTTGTGCCTTATTCCCACCACAAGTTTTAAACAGCCCTTTCAAATGTTGGTCAGCCTGGATGAGAGAAGCATATATTTTACAAGCCATTATATCGAAGGATTTGGATTCTTTAGGAAGCGTGAGAAATCCTCCAGCTGCAATCGTACCGTAGGACATCACAGTTTATGACAACCTTCAGGCGCCACAGTCTTTATGAACTACGTCTTGGTGATCCATCTTTTCAGCTTTGCATGAGTTATAATCACTGATTTCAACATTCTATCGTTTATGTCTCTCCAGAAGGCAGACATATCGATTCGTAGAATATCTCTCCCCTCTCATCTCACAACGATAAGCCTCTAAAAACTATTAACTGTCAAATCCAGCTATCAGGAGAGGTTAGTGGAATGCAAACAAGGGTAAAGTTGAAAGACATACCTGGTGCTGCGAAAGCCGAGCACATGCCTTAAGAAGAAAGCAGACTGGGGTCATCCCCATGCCTCATTGACACTACGGCAGTGCGGTACTGAGAGTGACGACCAGTGTCACCCAAGTTTTCTAACTGAATCCAAGGAAAAAACTACATCAGTCCGGTTCCATCAGAACTGACCAAACGGTCCCAACATTAAATCCTCTGCCAGCAGCCTAAATATCAGTAGCCACTCCTAAACACGCTGAGGTGGTGATAATCACTATTTTCTACCTATACAGTGATGTGAGGGGGCTGGGCGGAAAGATAGACGAGCTCAGAAATCCCCAGTCACACTTATACCCCGAAATAACTGTCTCGACTGAAATCTGACTGACCCACCTTTGCCAGCGATGAAACCATGAAAGTTACATGGTCCCGATCATGCGAGACAGGATCTATGGGGAAGGGGGAGTTGCCATATATTTTGATAATCAAATTTAATGTGTACGTGCAGTGGACCCATCACTTACTGAGCTCTCAGACTCTATGTGGTGACATTTCACCGTTGGCTACACCAAGTTTTTTCCGGGTGGCACCTACTGATCACACATATGGGGCAAATAGTACAGCCAGCAGCTGCCCAGTACAACCGAATGGATACAAGACTTGGGCTACGACAAGATCACTATAACTGAAGACTTTAATGCCCCATCCATTTACCTTGGCTCAAGGTATGCTGAGAGAAAATTCGGTCGAATTCTACTACAAGCTATTGGAAATGCGGGACTGATTAAAAGCGTTAGAGGCGACACTAGGTGAGACTTTGGTGGGAAGTCACCGATACCGGGCTAAACCCAGCTGGTGGCCGGTTACCAGTCGGAAATGTTTAAGTCATGAACCCCCCCTTCCAGATAGCAGTAGCCACAGTCACAGTATTTGATCTCTTTCTTCATGGGGCGCTTATAGTTGAATGCTATCCGACTCCGCCCACAGCAAAGCTGACTAAAAAGCGAAGAATATCGTCCTACGCAGAATGGCTCATAAAACAGGCTGAGTTATCTGTGGGGAGACTGGGAAGTGGCAAAAGAGATTGTTCACGCAGTAATCTCAGATACCGTACCTCTGGTCACAATACAACCGAAAAAAGTCCTGATGGTGGAAGAGAGGTGTGCAATGTATTCTGCAAGCAAAGCGGAAGGCTTGGTCTACGTCGAGAGTATCCAAGGGTCAGGCTGACTACGACGCACACCTGGAAATCAAGAAGTGACGCGACACAAGAGTT